CATTAGGTGTCTGCATATTACTAAAAGTTAAAGATTTCTGGGAAAATACCTGGAATGAGGTCCCTGCCATGTATACCTCCTGATGTTCGCTTCTCTCTCTCCACCTGGGCCAGGTGAGAAGCCATTTGAGTGTGACATATGTGATATGCGCTTCATCCAGAAGTACCACCTGGAGCGTCACAAGCGTGTACACAGTGGGGAAAAGCCTTACCAGTGTGAACGGTGTCATCAGGTAAGCTCACGTGTCATCCATTCACGCCCACACACAGACTTTCTTCCCTAAGAACCAGGGCTTGCCGCCATTCCCTGCCTGACAAGGGGCCACCTAGCATTCCTGGCCATGTTAGAGTTAGTACCTCAGGGTGATGTATATCTCTCTGGCCTTATGTAGCTGATCATGGGTAGGGGCCATTAGAATAATTGTAATAATAATAATAGCATTTCTTGGATACTTACTCTGTGCTAGGCACTGTGAGAGCATATCTGACATTACTTTGTTTAACCTTCACATTAACTCCGTGAGGAAGCTGTGTTGTCCTGATTTCACCCATGGGGAAATTGAGATTTAGAGAGGTTGAGTTTCCCAAGGACACAGCAGATCCGGGACAAGAGACGAACTGAATCGAACTTCAGAGCAGGTGCACTTTGGAGGAAGAGATAAAATCTCTGCCCTGGGAGGTCAATATCTGATCTGTAGAGAATGTAAGAGCCAGGACCAAAATAAGACAAGAACAAGAGATGAGAAACAATAACAACTAACACTTCCTGGATGCTTTGCTGGGTCTCAGGCTTCGCTCCGTGCTCTTAGGTTGAATCTGCAGAACACTAGAATGAAAGCTCCAGGAGGCAGAGACCTTGTCCCTCTGGTTCTCCACTCTGTCCTCAGCCCCAAGAACTGTACCTGCCTTGAGATAGATACACAATAAATATGTGATAAACGAAGCAGCCACTCTGTGAGTAGGTACCTTTAGCCCATTTTACAGATGAGTGTACAGATTCAGGGCTGTTAGATAACTTGCCCATGGTCACACGGCTACTAAGCTCTAGGCCAGAATTGAGACTTCGGAGCTTGCGTTCTTAACCACTGTGCACTCATGCCGTCTGTGTACGTGCCAAGGGGGTGTAGAATGGGATGTGTGCCTCTCCTGTGTGGGGAAGGCAGCTCTAGCCAATAGTAACTGAGTTTCTCCTCTCAGGCACTTAACCCTCCCTTTCTTCTCAGTGTTTTTCTCGGACAGATCGATTACTCAGACACAAACGGATGTGCCAAGGGTGCCAGTCCAAGACTTCCGACGGGCAGTTTTCTCTATAGGCGCAAGGGGCCCCGGGTGGTGGGAGTGATCAGAAGATTCTACCGAAGAGCGCACCCCTCTGGTCTGATGGTCCCACCACCACCCCGTCTGTACCTGTCCCCCTCCTGGAGGAGTGGACCCAGGAGACCAGAAGAGTGCATCGGGGACAGCAGGCCCCAGAGCTTCAGCTCTGTAAATAATCTGAGACTATGAGTATCTCGGGGAAGTTCCTTCAGCATTCCTGGGTAGGGAAGCTAGTCCCTGGACCCTTGTCTGAGGTCTTAGGTGGGGACTAAAGGTACAGGACCAAGACTGAAGTGTGGCTCCCACAACCTTGGACTCCAGCTGGCAGCTGAAGTGGAAAAGATCGGGGAGAGGGATTTGTTTGTTCTGTTCTTGTTTTTGTTTATCCAAAAACGATTTCAGCAGGTGCACTGTGGAAACAGGTAATACGGAGGTATAGAGTCCTGGTCAAAGTAGGGACTGTGGCTGGTCCAGCCCTCCCCCAAAATTGAGTTTTTAGTTGCAGTTGATCCTCAATGTTCCACAGCCCTGTACCTCATCTCCTGTTTGAAGGAGAATAGGATCAGGGATGGCAGCTGAGCTTACTTTGGTCTCCTTATACACTGTAGGGACAAAAGGAAGAACAGTGACAGGAGCAGACAAGGGCTGGATCCAAGAAGAGTGGACAGGTACCTCTCATTTCCTTCGGGGAAGAGCAAGAGTTGTGGCCATGGCTGTTGTAATGGCCCATGCCACACTGGTACCTAATGGGGTCAGCTCAAGTGCCTTCTGGAGGAAACTTGGGTGAGAGTGGCCCCTTTCCTTTCTCTCTTTGGGCAGTTGGTCTTGGAGATAGTTTTTGGCTACCTCGCTGATATTGACTCCTAAGCCAGACAGATGTTGAGCAGGAAGTCATGGATGTCAAAGTGGGATCTCTCTCCTTGTGCCCTCTTAGGAGCAACCCAAGACTAGCCCCAAGTTGGGTAACAGCTGTTGAAGAAACAAAAGGAATTTGGTGTCCCCTGACATGACTGTTGGGCAGTGTGAGCTCTTCTCCCTGCCCAAGTCCTATCACTGTATTCAGGTAGAGGAGATGGGGGTCTGGCCTTCAGTCCCAAAGAACAAGGTCTTGGCTTCCTTCTTGATGGCCGTCCCTACCCAACCAAGAACTGCAGGGCGTGGGGATGCTGCGGAGAAAAAACTGAGGAGGAAACCTAACGTAGGTTTTACTCTTAACTGTACTCTTTGCTCCTCTCTGCTCCGAGCCCACCACCCGGTCCACCCCCCAAAAAGCGATCGGGAGTGTGGGGTGTGGGTGTGTGGGTGTGTGTGTGGTATGTGAGTGTTTTTGTATGCTTGGAGATGGCATATTATTGAGCCAAACCCTTCTCTAGCCCTCAGCTCAGGGGAGGATGAGCGTAAAGCAGCCTCTCCTGACCACCTCCCCACCCCAGCAAATCTGAAGGGTGCTTGAGGTCCCAAGAGAAGAACTCAACTTGGGGGACTGGAGGGCTTTGTTTTGGAGGGGTTTTTTAAGATTGATTCCACAGACTGGTGGTTAGGATGTTTCTAACCCAAATCAGGGCTTGTGAATATGAATTTTCTAAAGTGAAATAAAAACCCTCTTCCTGCTAAGGAAAGGATCCTTATGGGAGGTTCTGGGGTTTGGTTGACTCCCAGGTTGTGGCCTGCCCTGACCTGTGGGGAGGAGGGGTGAGTAATTATGGAAGAATCATGGAGACTTGACTTGGTGAACCTGACCAAGCTGTCAGTGGGGATCTGAGATGGCAATCTCCAGGAAGTGATTTCATTTCCCAGAAAAATGTAGGCAGTAGCAGCAGCAGACTCCTGGCTGTTACCTATTCTGGAGGAAATGGCGGGGCGGGGGTCTCCATACCTCTGAGGTGTGAGGATTTCAGGGAAAAAGAAAGGAGGCGTGACACCCTTTAGATCTTCCCTGACAGCATCTGAGATCCTGTGGGGGAGACGCTGGGGAATGTGTTTGCTACCTGTGCTCTTCTAGTTCTGTGCTGGCACTCCCATTTAATGTGGTCCAGAAACTAGACCGCGAGTCCTTGGACCTGCCCTTGGTCCCTGCAAGTAGGGCATCTTTCTGCATGTGAGCCAGCCCCCTCCCTGTTAGAGGGCTCTGCTGGGGGCTGGGATTTGTCTAGGATACATTTAGAAAATTCTGTCCTTCCAAACGCGCTTTTGAAAGTGGGAGGCTTTGCTTCCTGTCACCTGCGGCTAATCTGTTTATGGTTGGGGTGAGTTGGGGTATGTGTGGAGAGAATCACACGAGTGATCTGTGCCCCTGAGTGTGCGAATGTGTGTTTAGGTCCAGATGTGCCCTGGCCCTTTGCAGACCTTGGCTTCCTGCCTGGGTGGGTGGGAGAGAGGGAACTTCTAAGCGAATGTGCAAAGAGCCATACCAGAACCACCCCTGCCGAGGACTGGGTGAGGGGAAACACAGGAGCAGGTGGTTAGCTCAGTTGTCCAGGTGCTGTTGTTCTGGGGCCATGGATGTGTGAGGAGAGAGGAGCTGAGAGTCCAAAGGAGCGATTTAGCGCCCAGGGAGCCCAGGAGTCCCACTTACACCCCAGGGAAATCACAGACCAAGACCGCTGCAAAGGCTCCTGGGCCCAATGTTCCACCCCACTGCTGGGTGGGGTCTAGCACTGGAAAGCCGCCTCAGGTGTGTCTGGAGTGAAGGGAGAGGGAGGTAGGGCCGGCTCTCAGAGACCAGGACATGGGATTCAGGGACCTGGGAAAGAGTAGCGCCAGTTCCTAGGTGGGCTCCTGTACCAGGTCCCACCAGCCCTGCCCTTCCCAGCACCCCAAGTCTTTTCCGTCCACCCCCCCCAATAGCCTCTTGTCATCACTTAGCTACTGATTGTGCCCCCATGGCTTGACATTGGAGGGTTAAATGAGGTGTGGAGTCCGCCACAACTTTTAACCCTCTCCCCAGATGTTCTTTGCCTCTATGTGGCCCTGGGGCTTTTATCTTAATCCCTCCTACCCTACCTTGCCTCTCCATCCTCTTTTTTTTTTTTTTTAATATACTTATTTTGCTATTGGGGGAGGGGAATATCAAATGAACAAGATCACTTTTAAATGGTAGTTTTTATAAAATGTTATAAACTTGTATCTTTTTACCATTAAAGTGCAGTGTATGTTCCTTCGTGATATATTTAGGATATTTAAATAAAAAGAAAATGGGGCTTTTGTACATACTATCTCCTCTTTGGGAAGAATATCCTTGGGAGAAGCTTTTTCACTGGGGCCGAAGTAGTTTTCTTTTTTTCCACCAAGTGTAACCAACCACCCCACGACTTCCAGCACCCTGTAAGCTCCCCTTTGCAGAGAGCAACAAGTAGAATAAATACAGGATATCAGTTCAGAATAAGGAAAAAAAAAAACATGCACAGCAGGACAGAATGAGGCCAGACACCAGCAAAGGCAGCGGTTCTCCAAGCATGGTCTCTAGGCCTCCTACGTCAGCATTACTTGAGGATTCAGTAGCCCACCCCAGCCCACTGCTGCTTCTCCCCAGGCAACCCATATCGTGCAGTCTGGTCTGCACTTTAAGTTTGAGAACCTCTCCTTGCCCTCAGGTGGCAGGAGGAGGAATGCACAAGAGCCTTCCTGAGGCCCAGGCTCTACAGCCTGCTCTGGCCTTGGGGTAAAGCAAACTGACACGTGTGCTCTGAGGTAAGACTCTTTATTGTATACGTGGGGGGTAGCCCCCACTTCTGAGGTAGGGAAGCAAGGTTGCCACAGAAGGTAGTCCCCTCTCGGGTGTCACTCTAAGAATGAAGTATGGGTGACCACTCAGCAGTGGATTAGCCCCCTACCAAGCTGCTGACTGCGAGACCCCATGCCCCAATTCCCTCCACGCCAGAGAAGAGCCCTGCAGTGAGTGTCCCTCCCCACTTCAGAGAGGGGCGCCTTCTGCCTCTTGAAAGCGGGGGTTGACAGTAGTCGTGATGGCGCTCTTGTAGAGAGGATTGTTGTCCTGGGGAAAGAAGTCGGAAGTGATGAGGAAAAGTCCCAGGACTCCCGATTTTATCTAGTCCTAAGAGGCCAGCCTAGAACTTGGGCAGGAGGACCCCAGGAGCTGATGGGAATTAGCAGAGGAACCAGAGTAAGCCCACAGAGGGGGGTAGGCCAGCAGCGGGGCGGCTAAGTAGAACGAGTCAGGGTGGAGGGTGCGACGGTGAGGCAGAAAGCAAAGCCCACCTAACCAGGGGAAGCAAGGAAAACCCCACCCAGTGGGGTAGCGGGCAGCCTCACCTGCTTCCAGTGGAGCTGCTGCTGCTCCTTTTCAAAACGGCTGTATTCTCGGCGGTCGTAGATTTCCACTGAGAGCCGATAAGCCAGGACCAGTCCCAGTCCCACGACCACGATGCCCCCCACACAGCCCAGCACGATGATTTGGGTGTGGTCTGACCCCTCTATGGGAAAGAAACAAGAGAGGGCCTAGGAATTGATCACCAGTTACCCACAGCGTGTCCAGCCTCATCCAGCCTCCCCAGACCTGCCTGTCATTGAAAACAAAGGGAACCTCCACAGGGTCCAAGGTTATCCCAGTGCTCAGGGCCTTAGCCTTGTCCGTTTGGTCCAGCACCTGCACTTCTGCCTGGATTCATTAGCTCCGCTTCAACCCCCAGCCTGACTTCCCATTGTCTTTACCTCCGGAGTTCTGAGGCCCTACCCATTAAACTTCCAGGGCCCCATCTGGCATGTCCACAGCATCCCTGCCCACTTACTTTCTGGGGGTCTCACTCTCAGCATGACCCTGCCTCCGGCTTCATCCTCTGCCAGGAAGAAGAAGAGCTGGTTGTCGTGGGTCCTCTCTTTGCACCAGCCATCATCCAGGATAGGGGCCAAAGCCAGAGTCACGTTGGCATGGGCACACGCCAGGCTGCAATTCACGGCCAGAGGACCAGTCCCAAAGGCGCCACACTCCGCGCAGTCCCTGTCCAGCGGGTGCCAGTAAGTTACCAGCTGGACAGATGTCACCCAAACCACATGCAGAAAGAGCAGGTGGGTGGGAGGGGCTCAAGGAGCCCTGTGCCCCTGTTCCCAAGGCGCAAGGCCTGAGGGCTCACCTGTGTCTCTCGCATGGCGTCTTGCAGCCTGAGCACTGATCACATAGGGCACCGTAATAGCCATCCAAGCACTGGCAGCGGTTGCAGTTGCAGTATCCATGCCCGTTGCACAGCCCTCCCTCGGGACTGACACAGTTGTCTGTGTCCGCGCTGCATTCGCATGCTCTGCCCGTGCGATTGGCGTGACAGTGACACACTCCACATTGGCAGCGGCCAAAGCCTGAGGCAGAGCCACGCGCAGGGTGACAGTCATACTCCCCACAGGCATTGGACATCACGTGCCGCCACAGGCTGCCTAGAGCTGACCTGTTCCTGTGCATCCAGTTCCCTCTCAAGCGTGCCGGGTACCCTCCAACCCCTACACCAGCATCTTTGATTCCTCCCCTTAGTGCAGAGAAGTTCCCACAGCCTGAACACCCTTGGGGAAGCCACTCTGACCCCGTCCTTCTCCCCAAAGTCTCCAGGTACCTCCACAGAGGATTCCCTCATGTCGCTCACAGCTGGCATCATCACATTCGCACAGACGTCCAGAGCTCTGTCCACTGCAGGTGCAGCGTCCACACTGGCACCGTCCCCTCCCACTGCACAGGGGCCCTGTGCCATTGGGGGCTCGGCACCCAGATTCCAGATCCAAGGAGGACAGCTCAGCCTCAGAGCACTCACAGAGTCGACCCAGGTGGCCAGGGACACAGCTGGGAGGGGAAGGCAGGGGAGAGAAAGGGGAGTCATAGATTTTGACCATGCCTTGACCTGCCTTTCCCAGAATCCTCTAAACCCAAGATCTCAAGATAGTTGGAGAGCCGCCAGCGGCTGACAGGAGGCCAGAATATAATGGAGCACCAAGGAGTATAGAGGGGGTCGGGGGGGTGGTTCTGGTGGAGGGGAGGGTTTGGCATTTCTGAGAAGCTTCAGGAGGTGAAAATCAGGGTGGAGTCTTGGGATGTCTAAGAAAAAGATGTCTAGAGACGCCAGTGGGAGGAGGGAAGGCAAGGGAGGAGGAATACAGGGGAGCCATATAGGTGAAGGGAAGCAGGAGGCCCTCACCTGCACACCCCGCATTGTAGGTGCCCCTTGCCGTCACTGCAGTGAGGAGCCTGGAGCTGGGTGTCACTGCAGTTACAGTCACACAGTGTATGCAACTCCACAGTCAGCTCCTCTGAGAAGCCGCGGGCTCGGAACGTCAGCAGATGGGGCTCTGGGAGGCAGTGGGTAGCTTGGAGAGTAACCAAAAAATTCACCTGAGGACAGGGCAGGCGGAAATCAAACTAAGATCACGTGCACTCCTGTATGTGCACGGGCACACACCAAACACACTGGTCATCCAGAGCCCTACTTCCTAGTAAATGAAGGGATAGGGTCGTGCTAACACCCACCTCCTAGAAACACTCCTGAGCAGGCTGCTCGTTAAAGCGCCTCAGAAAGGATGGGTGGAAGGCCACCCCATGCTTTTTGCTTTGCTTCCTGGGCCTGTCCTCCATCTCTCCCTGCCTGCTCAATTTCCCACTCCCACCCCCACGCCCTTCCTTCTCACTGTCTGGTTGATTCGGACGTGGTTGCATTGGCCCCTGTCACCAGCCTCATCCTGTCTCTTCTCAGGACCCCCACACTGAGAATCGTAAGAGATGTGGACCCCAGGAGGGAGTAGAGAGCGTTCATGTTCAAGGGTCACAGTGGATGATAGGCTCTGTGGAAAGGGAGAGAGAGTAACCATGTGAAGGCAGGATTCCAACCCCACCTCATGCCCTCTCCAGCTGTTCCAAATCCTGCCAGAAGCCTGCCCTCAGCCCACCTGGGCACTCCTTCCATTCTGCCCAGTCAGGAGGAGTTTCTGCAGGAAGGACCCGTGATAACCTTGAGTGAGAACACAGAATCCAGAGGCTTCTAACGCAGCATTTCAGTGCAGCTGCAGCGAAGGCCTGCTGGGGGCCGGGCTGGCCAGCACTGTAAACATGCAGTGGCTGTGTTTTTCAAACCCCAGATCAGGACACACAACCGGTGTGCATACAAGGTCTAAAGGGCAGATTCTTTCAATTGAGTTTGTCCTGGGAAATTTGATATTGTCTCAGATTTTCTTGCCATGGGTTTGGAACATGGTCCGTCTTATCAAGAAGGCTACAGTCTAGTTGCAGAGATAAGACCTAAACCCAAGAAACCAATTTTTATGGTTCCTTCTACCTGTAAAATTCTATGGTTCCTGTGAAGAGTATCTCCGAATTATTTATAAGCTTAGTGAAGGCAGTCTCCAGATGTCACATTCTTTATGTACAGACTGACTGGGGGACAAGTGCCAGCCGTTCCATCTGTTATCTCTGTGACCTTGGGCAAGTCACTTAGCCTCCCTGTGTCTGTATCCCCATCGATAAAATTGGAACACTAGTTTCCAAGCAGGGGTTTTAGTGGGATAAATAAGACAGCAAACAGTGTGTGTACTCGGGACAGTGCTTGGCATGAAATAAAAGCTCAATCAATGTTAATTCCCTTCCTTGCCCAGAGCAGGGCTCCATGCTCTGCACAAATCAGGCACTTAAGGTTTATGAATGCAAGACTGACTGAGTGAATGAGCTATTAATGACAGCCACATGCAGACTGTAGGTAGGAGCTGTGGAGTGTTACACAAAAAGTGACCATCCCCTTTTAGTTCCGCCACCCCACCTAAGGGTCCCTTTCCATCTTTCCCCAGTGCCCACCCTCCCCCTCCCCCTGCCCCCACGCTGGCCCCTCACATTATAAGCATCCATGATGAGCTGTACCACATTGCTGGAGTCCTCACTCAGCTCCCCCACTGCGGACTTGGGAATCAGCTTACTCAGCTCCTGCAGCGTGAGGAGTTGAGGGAAATGGTGGGTCACAGCTCTAGGGAAATAAGCTTCTGGGGGTCTGGAAGGAGAATGGGCCTGTGAGGGAAGTGAGACAGGCTGGGAGTGGGAGGGTTTGGCATTCAGACAACTCTCACCTGGTAGACAGGCAGTGTGGCACTGGTGACAGCAAAGATGGGCTGGATGTTTGCCGCAGAGAGGGCCTGGGCTACCTGACCCACGGAGGGGTAGTCCTGGAGCAGGGAGTCAGGACAAGGTGAGCACCCCAAGTCCCCCTCACAACACGCAAGGTACCCTCAACCCAGGAAATCCAGGGTTCCACCAGCTAGAAGAGCCCTGGAGGCTTGGCAAGGAGGAGGGAAGGGCCAGGGAGTGGAGTGACTTGGGTTTGTCTGAGCAGTGGGGGGACGTGGAGAGGAGGAACTTCTGGGGAAGATGGCAGGGTGGTCATCACCCGTAAGGACAGTGAGGCTGGAGGGTGGGTTCCTGGGAGGAGAGGAGGTGTGGCTCTGCTGGAGCGGGGCAGGTGAGGGTGGCAACTCACAAACTCTGGGCTGCGACTGTAGAGGCCATTGCTGTCCAAGTGGCAGTGCCCGTCGCTGGGCATGAAAATGCCACCTAACTTGCCATCCCCAGCTGTGTGGAATGTGTCATCTGAAGTGAACACCAGTAGCCGGGACACATTTCTCCAGCCAATCTGCTCCTGGAGTGGGGTTGGGGGGTAGGCTGTGCACTTGGGCATGGATGGCCCTTGAGCCACCCCCGCCTGCTCTAGGAGCAAGGATTTGGCCAGCCTTGTTCTGGTCAGTTTGTCCAGCCCCCTGTCTCCAGCTCCCTGCTTCTCCCCAGCCCTTCAAACAGGGTTGCTGCTAGTGGAGGCCGTCTTGTGAATTAGAAAAACACGCCTCGGGACTTCCCTGGCGCTCCAGTGGTTAAGACTTTGCCTTCCAGTGCAGGGGGGTGCAGGTTCCATCCCTGGTTGGGGAGCTAAGATCCCACATGCCTCGTGGCCAAAAAAACCAAAACATAAAGCAGAAGCAATATTGTAACAAATTCAAAAAAGACTTTAAAAACAGTCCACATCAAAAAAAAAAAAAAGGAAAACATGCCTCTTCCTCAAGACATTTTACTCCAATCCACCAGCAAATTGTCAAAATAGATATGCAAACTACAGAGACTATAATACAAAGACCACCCCCTAGAATTGTGAACTGCATAACCATTGGTGGCCATCTTGGCCCCAAGCAGCCCTTCAGACTCAGGGCCCTTCCCCGCCCCCTCACCTGGCAGAGGGCAGCCTGCAGAATGGCATCAAAGCCACCTTCAGGCGAGTCCAGGTTGCCGGACACGCTCTGGCGTCCCACCTCCCGTTCGAAGGCCTTAGCATCCCGGGTGAGGGATAGCACATGGTGAAAGCTAAAGGGCGGCTGGCAGCGCTCCAGTCGGGTGGGGCAGGGGTGGCGAAGCTTGGAGGGCACTGTGCTCACGAAGGGCAGCACCATTTTGTCCACGAAGGAACCAAAGCCTGGGAGGAGGAGTCATGAAGACAGTGGCAGAAGTCACTGGACAGCAACAGGATGCAGGACGGGGGGGGGGCGGGGGGGGCACTGCTGAGGACTCAGGAGGGGAGTCCCTGGGAAGTGGGGGGCGGGGGGGACAGTCATAGCGGAGGTGATGGGAGAGAGGTGATGCTCCTAGAGGGCCGGGACCCAGGACCCAGCAGGGGCAAAGGGGTGAGAGCACATGTTCAGGGAAGTGGAGGATAGAGATGAGGGCACAGCAGTGGGCAGGCAGGGGGTTGGTTAAAGCTGGGGAAGAATGGACGGGTGTGCGGTGTAGCAGCAGCATAAGATGAAGGAGGGGATCTAGAACAGGAGAGGGATGAGTGCAGAATGCAGAATGTACAGCAGGGATAATGGCATTTAGACCTTGTCCAGGAGACACGGGCCTGAGAAGTGGCACCAGGGCAGTGTCCAGGTGGGTGCGTCTAGGGCACTGTCTGACCCTGGGAGCTGTCTGAACACAGTCTCTCCAAACTGAAGGCCTCAGTTACCCTTCCAGTAAAATGAGGGGTCCTATTGGACAGTCTCTCAAACCCCCTCTAGCTCTGACCTAGAAGATAGATGTCTTTGGGGAGAGATGTCAGGAACCCGTGGCCTGGCCAGGTCCATTAAAAACCGGGAGAGGGCACAGTGAATATTCTGCCCCTTCATTTCTATGCCCCACATAACCGGCTGGCAAAAAAAACTCAGGGCAGCTACTCACCTGAGTCTCCCTGCTCTTCCCTTGAGAGCATACTTTCACTTAAGTAAACCCTTGCCTTACTTTCTTGAAAAAAACAAAAAAACGGGAGAGAGCAGGTGGGGCCCTTGTGTGCCCTAGACATTGGCAGAAGCTAGGGTGGCGGTTGGTTAGAGGCAGAGGGCCGGCAGGTGCGGGGCAGGGCTCCGCTGGACTCACCAATGCGCACGGAGTGGGTGACTTCCTGCAACCTCACCAGCAGCGCGTGCCCAAGCTGGCGCACGCGCTCCAGGTCGTCCTTCATGGAGTAGCTCAGGTCCATAAGGTAGTACAGGTCCACAGGGTATCCCTCGGCTCGAAGGAAGCGGACCCGGAGCTGCTGGGGCTCTCCTGGGGGTGGAGGTAGTGGGGAGGTCGGTGGGGCGCGGTGGAATCCCAGCCCAGCCCCGGGCCCGGCGGCCCACCACCCCCTAACTCACCTGGCCGCAGCGTGACCCGGACCCGCTGTGGTGCCAGCTGGGTGGCCCCCTCGCCGCGGGTGCCCTGGCTGAGCGGCTCGTCCTGCAGCACCTCCTGCCGGCCGCGGGGCTCCTCCAGCTCTTCCGGGGGGCAGCCCCGGGCCAGCAGCTCCTCTCGAAGGGCACAGCGCCGCACCTCCGCCTCCCCGGACGCCGTGAAGTTCTGCGCCGCAAGGGGAAGCGCGTCGGGACCCTAGTCCCCTGGACCCCTCAGCCCTGCTCCCAGAACCACCCTGGCATCCCGGCCACTTCCAAGCCCTCCCCTGTCAGGCAACTCTCTGGGCCCCGCCCCGATTCCCTCCCCTCCCTTCCACAGCTACCCTTTTTTTTGTTTGTTTGTTTTTTGCGGTACGCGGGCCTCTCACTGTTGTGGCCTCTCCCGTTGCGGAGCAACAGGCTCCGGACGCACAGGCTCAGCGTCCATGGCTCACGGGCCTAGCCGCTCCGCGGCATGTGGGATCTTCCCGGACCGAGGCACGAACCCATGTCCCCTGCATCGGCAGGCGGACTCTCAACCACTGCGCCACCAGGGAAGCCCCCACAGCTACCCTTGAACGCCGTCCTTTCTTCCTTGTCAGACCCCACTTCCTACAGCACCGCTCCTTTTCCTACCCTTTATCTGGATGCCCCCTTTCCCCAGACACCCTACCTCTCCACTCCCCCAGTGCCACAGACTTCCTGTTGAGATCTCAGGGACCTCACTGCCATTAAAAAAGGAGGAGCCTGACCTCCTAGTCCAACCTCCCCTGAATGCTCAGGCCAAAATGGGAAGGGGGTCAGACTAAGACCCACAGTCCCTGGGAAGGGGAAGGATAGGGACAGGAGAGAACCCCCCGCTCCCCCTCAATGTGTCTGGTACCCCTGGCACTGGCTGGGAAGCCACAGGGGAAGGAAATGGTTAGAGTGGCTTCTCAGCTGAGCCGGGTGCCAGCCTCTGGTCGGGGGATTGGAGGAGACAGACATATACCCAGCTGTCCCAAGAGTCCCTGCCTGGCACCTCTGGCCTCTGCCTCCCACTGACTCTGAGTCTTCCCCTTCCCGGCCTCCCAGATTCACTATGTGCCTTTCCCCTGGACCCACTCAGTTTTGTAGCTCGGCCTCCTAGTGACTGTGCCCTCATTTCTTATCTCATCTAACTCTCCATCTTCCTGTGAGAGAGACAGTTCTTCCCCACCCTCCAGTTCAGGCGCCCCTCGTGCTCTGCTACACCATGAGCCCTGTCTCTTTAAGACATAAACAAAAGAACAGCCTGGGGCTTCCTTGGTGGCACAGTGGTTGACAGTCCGCCTGGCCTGCCGATGCAGGGGACACGGGTTTGTGCCCCGGTCCGGGAAGATCCCACATGCCGCGGAGCGACTGGGCCCATGAGCCATGGCCGCTGAGCCTGCGCGTCCGGAGCCTGTGCGAGAGGCCACAACAGTGAGAGGCCCGCGTACCGAAAAAAAAAAAAAGAACAGCCTGGGACTTCCCTGGTGGTCAAGACTCCCTGCTTCCAATGGAGGGGGGTGGCACTGGTTTGATCCCTGGTCGGGGAGCTAAGATCCCACATGCATTGCATGGCCAAAAATAAATTAATTAATTAAAGTTTCCCAAAAAATTTAAAAAAAAAAAAAAAAACAGTCTTGTTTGACCAGCCAGGGAGACACCCTCTCCCCAGCATCCTTCTTGTCACTTAGGTAGCTCAAGCCTTTCCCCCAAAGCCCACAGGCTTCCAGCTCCTTCCTTTCTACCCTCCCAGTCACAGGCTGCTACATACCTAGGAACATGCCCCCCCCCCCCAACACAGATCCAGAGACCCAGTCACATACTTTCTGCAGTGGACTGACCCCCAACATGATGATATTTGGAGATGGGGCCTTTGAGAAGGAATTAGGGTTAGATGAGGTCATGAGGGTAGAACCCTCATGATGGGATTAGATCCCTATAAGAAGAGACACCAGAGAGCTTGTCCGCAGCCCATCTGCAAGCCAGAAAGAGAGTTATCACCAGGAACTGAATCAGCTACCACCTTGATCTTGGATTTCACATCCTCCAAAACTGTGAGAAATAAATTTCTGTTGCTTAAGCCCCCTAGTCCGTGGTATTTTGCTATGACAGCCCAAGCTGACAAATACACGTTCTCACATGTACACCCACAAAAGATCCCTCTCCCTAGACACAAGCGTGAGTTCCAGCAGGAACATTTGCTTCCTCCAAATTTATGGTCACAAGTCTTCTCCACATATACACAAATACATAGATACAGACATAAACATACATGCGCAGGAACCTCGAGTGCATGTGTATGCACACACACACACACACACGATCACAGACAGGAGTCCTATGTGCACAAACTCAGTCACACACAGAACTACAGAGTGCACCCAGAAAGTCACACACGTACCCACACAATCACACTCGTGTATCCAGGCTGTACACACACATACACTCGGTTCAAAGGCCACAGGCCCATCTTTACCAGTTGCTTGCACCATGCACAGCTCGGGTGTGAGAGGATGCACTTTTGACAGGAGGGAGCTGGCTGGCAGGACCCTGGTAGGGACAGCCCAGGATCCCCCCATTCGGTGGTCTCCTGTGGGGATGAGATCTTGACGTCCAGTTCACTTTCACCTCTGCTCAGGGCCAGCAGGAAAACAAGGACCATTGACAAAGCCACCATGGTCTGTAATAGGATATAAAGGGGGACATGTGGGTCCTCAGCGAGGGCCCCCAAGCTCTCAGCCCTCTAAACTTAGCCTGTGGTCGTCCCTCTCAAAACTCTACCCCAACTCTTTATCTGTCCCCATAGTTTCACTTCCCCCTGTGGATTCAGCAGTTTCTTCAAAATGGCAGGAAGGGGCAGATCCCAGGCTAGGGTAGGAGCCTTGGAAAAGACCCAACGCTCCTGCATGCAGACTTCATGAGGCCAGAGTGGGCAAAATAGCCTAACTAAGAGTCTGGAGAGTGGACCTGGAGGCACTAAGGTCTGCACGCAGGTCTGTTCACCAAGATTCCAAGCCATAGTGGAAAGAGAACCAAACAGGAAACAGACCAAGTCTGGTCCTGCCTCAGTCACTCACTGGCTGGTGTCAAGTCAGATTTTCTCTCTGAGCCTTAGTTTCCACAACCGTAAAGTAAGGGAGTTGAAAAAATAATCTGACAGCCCTTCTAGCTTTCATAACCTTGGATTCTAAAGGAAGAGGGTCAGGGGCTCTAAATAAGGGGGGAAAGTCAGGGATTAGGAATGAGAGGAAATGAAGCTGGAGCAGATGAGGGAGTACGTGCAAGAGGCAGGAAAAGTCAGCTGTAATTAACTGACACGGTAGCAAGAGGAATAAAGATTAGACCATAAGAAGGACTGTCTAAAGGTCTGGGATAATGGAGGAAGGAAGGCCAGGTTTGATAAAAATTTCTCTTTCCTGTACATGGCACAAAGGGGATCTAGGTTAAAAATTTGAATAGGCAATTTATTACCATGCTTCAAAAATCAAAAAGTTAAATCCCAATGGCCGTTTTTATAGAGATGGAAAATCCTAAAATTCACATGGAATTGCATGAATAGCCAAAACAATCTTGAAAAAGAACAAAGTCGGAGGACTCACACTTCTCACTTTGAAAACTTACTACAAAGCCCCAATAATCAAGACAGTGTGGTGTTGGCATAAGGATAGGCAAATAGATCAATGGAATAGAACTGAGAGTTCAGAAATAAATCCATCCCTTATGGTCAGTTGATTTTCAACAAAGATGCCGAACCATTCAATACAGAAAGAATAGTCTTCAACAAATGGTACTGGGATGACCGGATATCCACATGTAAGAGAATGAAGTTGGACTCCTACCTCACAACATATACAAAAATTAACTGAAAATGGACCAAAGACCTAAGTATAAGTTCTTAAAACTATGAAACTCTTAGAAGAAAATATAGGGATAAATCATCATGATTTTGGACTTGACAATGGATTCTTAGCTATGACATCAAAAGCACAAGCAATGAAGGAAAAAATAGATAAATTGGACTTCATCAAAATTTAAAACTTTTATGCGTTAAAGGACGCTATCAAGAGAGTGATAAGACAGGCCACAGGATGGGAGAAAATATTTTCAAATCACATATCTGTTAAGTGTTCAGAATATATTAAAGAACTCTAACAACAACAAAGAGAAAAACAACCCAGTTTTAAAATGTGCAAAGGACTTCGATGTTTCTTTAAAGAAGATAGACAAGTGACTAACCACAGATAAAAAGATGCTCAAAACGATTAGTCATCAGGGGAATGCAAATCAAAACCACGAGATACCACTTCACACCCACTAGAATGGCTGTAATAAAAAAAAAATAGAAAATAAGTGTTGAGGACGTGGAGAAAATGGAGCCTTCATACGTTATTGGTGGGAATGTAAAACGGTACAACTGTGGAAGACAGTTTGTTGACTCTTCAAGAAGTTAAAACACAGAATCACCCTAGCACTTGACAATTCCACCCCTAAGGATATCCCTAAAAGAATTGAAGACGGGTGTTTAAACAAACACAAACTTGTGCAATACTGTTCATCGCAGTACCATTCACAGTAGCTAAAAGGTAGAAACAACCCAAATGCCCATCACCTGATCAATGGATGAATAAAATGTGGTATATCCATACAATGAAATATTATTTGGCCATAAAAAGGAATGAAGGACTGATACATGCTACAGCGTTGATGAACCTTGAAAACATTACGTTAAATGAACAAAGGCAGTCATGAACAACCACATATTGTACAACTCCATTGATATGAAATAGCCCGCCTAGACAACTCCATAGAGACAGAAAGTAGCCTAGTGGTTGCCAGGGGTTGGGGAGGAGGGGCGGATGGGGAGTGACTGCTTAATGGGCAGTTTCCTTTTGGAGTGAAGAAAAAGTTCTGGAACTAGATAGCGGTTACGGTTGCACAACACTGTGAATGTACTTAATGCCCCTGAATTGTAACCTAAAATGGTTAAAATTATAAATTTGATGTGTATTTTCCCACAATTTAAAAAACCAAAAAGTTAAGATGATAGAAATCTCCCACTCCTATCCCCCATCCACTCCAGTTTCCACACTTAACTTCAAATAAATAACCATCATTTATTATTATCTTTTGTTGCCTATAATCTTTCTAGAGACTTTTAGTGTATATACAGACTAACATGAACACATATATACTCTTCAAATGATAGAATCAAACAATAGAATTCAACAAATGCTAGAATACTTTACACCCAGTTTTGCATCTTACTTGGTTGGACTAGTTTTCTTGGAGTTCCTGCAACCCAAGAAAATAAAGAACTCCCTTGTTCATTTTTACAGCTATATAGATTTCCATCGCATGGATATGTCATGTTGTATTTAGTCTCTTGTAATGGGAATTTATGTTGTTTCTAATTGTTCACTATTATAAACAACGCTGCAGTGAAAATTCATGGATTTATCATTTCACGTGTGCATGTTGTAGGATAAACCCCTGGAAGAGGATTTGTAGGGTTAATAAATAGGTATCATTTGTAATGCTGGTGAGTAGTGCCAACATAACTGACATGAGCTCCTGAAGGGCTGTGCCCGTTCACGTCCCCATCGACCGTGCATTTGAAAGGCCAGCTAACTCCTTGTCGGGAAGCATCTGCATCCTTCTCAGCCTGGGCCCAGACTTGGTACCAGATGATCTGCACGGGCTGTGGCGAAGGGGTGTGGTGCCAAGTTGCTGACCTCCCCCGTCTTGCTCCCCACCACCTGTGACCTCAGGCGTAGTAGATATATATTTAACAGAGCCTCCACCCTCCTGTGAGAGGCTAGCCCAGGGCTCAGCCTCAGCGTAACCTCAGCCTTGTTGGCTCTGCACGCCTGTGGTCGGCGAGGCTGGGGATGCTGCAGCCCAGTTTTGACTCATCTCTCACAGGTGGGGCTCCGGGCCACACTGTCCCCCAGGATAAGAAAGTCCCAGAGAGTTCAAAGGAGTCACTCATCTCCCCTAAAGGGGGCCCTTGGACTCCCCCCCCAACCCCCTTCTCCCCTCCCCAGGATACGTGACCTGCCACCTGCTTCTCTTAATCTGTCTCTCCCTTTCTCTGTCTCCCCTTCCTAGTCAGAGATCTGATTCCATCTTGCAGCTACTTTTCTCTTCTCCACTTCTTCACAGTTCTTTGTTTTACTTCCTTTCCCACTCTGATCCTAACCGTAGAATGGCAGAATCTTCTATTTCAACCCCCTCTTTTTACAGATGGAAACCTGAATCCCAGAGTGGTGAGTGACTTGCCCAAGGTCCCCCAGCGAACTACAGCAGAGCAGGGACTGACACAGGCCAGGCCTCCCGCTTTGTTTGCTGCTTTCCTCCCCTCCAACCCGGGCACCATCTTCATGGAAAGTTGTGCCTTCTCCCCACCAGCCCCAATGGGCTCTATCTGATCCCCTTTCTCTTTCCTTCTGGCCTTCCTGTATCTTCGCTTCTCTCCCTCTGGGGTTATCCATTCTCCTGGACTTAATTCTGACTCCAATACATACCCCACTGCCCCCTGAGCAGCTGAGAAAGAGAGCATCTCCCCAACCCATCCAGATCTCCCAAGTCAGGAGGAACCCTCTGCTGCCCACTCAGTGTCACAAGGAGGGGACAGAACTGAGCCGCTGAGCCACAGTCTTCCAGGAGTGTGGGATCTGTGGCCAAGGTACCAACCGGGAGGAGGCCCGAGCCGAGCACAAGGCATCAGGCAGCAGGGATGGCAGCTGGGGAGTAATATTGGGAGAAACTTACCTCGTCATAATCCGTAACACATAGCCGGCAAGCAAATGATAGCACTCATGCATCCCCTACCTCCTTTTTCTCTCTCCAGTCCCACTCTTGGGAAACCAACACAAGAGGGATGGGTGGGGGGAGGGAGGGCTTGTGAGACTGGAGGAGGAAACAGGAACAGGAGATCTTGGGAATGCAGAGAGGTCTTCAGAGCCTTTCTCAAGACTCAGCTGAACCCTGGGTGTCTTCAGGTCAGAGCCCTCTTCCCAGGAGGTTAGGACCAGGTGGGGCCTGGGCGGGTAGGAGAGGAGGCAGGAGAGCTGCTGCCCTCGTACTCACAGGTGCGTGCGGAGCAGCCCTTCCTCCCTCCGGTGGTAGCAGCAGCCTTTGTGTACTGATCTGGGAGGCTGCAGAGGAGGAAGTGACACGCCCCAGGGTGGGGGAGACTTGGGGCTGGTGGGGGTGACTGACCTAGGAGAAGGTGGAGCAGATAAGGGTGAAATTGGGCCAAGGGAGTTGATGATACAGGGATCTGGACGAAGGAAGCAAGGAAGCTCATCTGTTGAGCACCCATTAGGTACTGGATGTATCATAACGTTACAATTCATTCTCACAGCAGCAACCTCATGACATAGGTGTTAACCTCCCTCCAGCCCCCTAATTTTACAGATATAGAGGCTTAGAAGTACAAAGTATTTTGCCCGAGGTCACATAGTTAGCAACTAGATGGTCTGGATTTAAATCCAGGTCTGCCTGCCTCCCAGATTGATGTTCTATTTTCTCATATAGGAACATGACAGGAAGGAAGAAATATGGAGGCAATAAGTACTGTCGGAGGGGGAAATTAGTGACTATTGTTCATTCTGAAAACCTGGTGCCCACTGTCTTACAGTGTGTGCTTAACTACACGGGCTCTGGAGCCAAACTGCCCAAGTTCAAATCCTAGCTCTGTCACTTACTGGTAGTGGGACCCCAGGTAAATTACTTACCCTTCCTGTGGCTGTTTTCTCATCTGTCAAGTGGAACTCATAGCATTATTGTGAGAATTAAGTGAGATTATTCGTATCAGTTGCTTAGAGGAGAACATGGCACTTACTAAGGGCTCAATAAGAGAGAGAATCGGTGGATGAGAAGTAATGGGGGTGGGAGGCTTTGAAAAGTTCAAGGACCAGGCAGCTGGGAAGTCGGAGAGACAAGCACAGGGCCAGGCTCGGAGAATGAAGTTGGGGGGCCAAGGAGCCAAGTGGTGCCGGGGCCCGGGACGTGGGTGGAGGAGGCGAACTGCGCAAAGCTGAGCACGGGCATGGCAGCTGGAGCCAGGCAAGGACGAGGCTGCAGGGAAAAGAGGCTGAGGCCCACACTTGACCACAGGGAGTTTTGAGAAGGAACTGGATGTGACGTCTGTTCACAGGTCTGTCTCCTCCACCGGCAAGGGACTGACTGAGGCCGCAGGGTCCATCTCCTAGCAGGTGTTCGGTGAACATCAGATGGGTCGTAGGAGGAGCAACTAGGGAGAAGGGCGTCCTCCTCTGGGTGGGCTCCAGCCACTGGCTCAGACCTCTTGCCCTTCCCCCACAACCAGGGTTGCCATGGCAATGACCCCTCCTTCCCCACAGGCCCTGTGGTTTCCTCTAGAGTTTCTTTCACTTTCTTCTTCTGCTTTCCCCCCTCTCCTCTCCTCCACCACTCCCACATCCTCAACCTCTCTCCCCCACATGCACCGGTCGGGTCATCGGTGAAGACAGCCAGGCGCAGGTAGGCAAGGCACTGTCCCAGGGAAGAAGGTGGGTGAGGGTGGGTGTTAACGGGGAGTCACAGGGGGCAGGGGAAGAGTCCAGGGGCGCAGTGGCAGAGGCCAAAGTCAATGGGGCTGAGGTTGGGGTGTTGCAGAGGTTAAGGCATGCAGGGGCAGGGAGAGGTATTAGGACAGAAGGTAACAGTGGGGTCGTGGAGGGCAAGCAGGGTCACAGGGAGAAGGGTGGGGGCAGAAGGAGTGACTCAGAAGGTGATAGTGGGGTCACAGTGTAGGCGGCTTATGGGGCAAGGGGCTGGCATAAAGCAGGAACACTGTAACTTAGATGTACGCCGTGGTTCTTTTCTTCTGGGGCCAGGGACCCTCATGACAACCAATTGAAACTGCATCAACCTCCTCCCCAGAGAAGGGCAGATGTGCATGTATACAGAACTGGGGGTGGGGATAGCCTAAAGACCTCTGAGGCCCAGGACCTTACTAGAGGTTCACAGAGTCCAATCAAAGCTCCAACACCTGGTGATCACGGAGGCCCAGACACTCAGGACAGGGCCCTGTGGACTCCCTTTCCGCCACCTTCCCACCACACCCAACCAGATACATTTCATCCTATTTCTTTAGTTCCCCTAAGAAAGCTGCAAAATCCACCCTCCCCACCCAGTCCCTCTGCAGATCAGCTCGTTGCTTCCCCGCTAGAGGGAGCCACATCCCATGAGTTTCCATCACTTTATTTGCAAAAATAGAAAACTCAGCAATATGCGACACAGCGGGGTGGAGGGGAGATGTAAACAGGGGAGGGGACAGCACCCTGACCCCCCCAGAGAAAAAGGGGAGCCAGTGGAAATCTTATTTGGCAGCTAAATACAAACTGGGGATTGGAGGAAGAAGGGAGGGGTCACAGGGGCCCTGGGCTCCCCCTCCCAAGACCCCTGGAGGAAGGGGTCAATTCCAGGGTGTAAACAAAAGCTAATAAATAAATAGAGGCTTCCTCGGGGTCAGGGTGGGATCAGCTAAGCAGTGCCCACCCCCCCTCTCCCTGGGCCAAGCTGCTCTGGGGGTCACGGGGGGAAGGCACCAGGGGGAGAGGGATCCCCTGGCCCCTCTGTAGTGTAGGAGGGTTCCTGCCCCATGGCTGAGATGGGGGGCAGGGGGAGCCCAAGGCACATGACAGGACTGGGGGAGGGGCTTGTAACTGAGGGCATAAGGTAAACTCTGGGCCCAAGCAAAGAGGTGCAGAATGGACCTGCCTCTGTCCCTTTCACCCTCTGGCCCCCCACAGAAATGCAGGGCCCGACCTGACACGAGGACGGGGGCACAGCGGGCAGCGTGCACCCAGCAGGTGCCTTATGCAGCGTTAGGCACCAAGGACTGGGGCAAGAGGGTGGGCTCAGCCCTCCCCCTACGCCCCCCTCCCTTTGGTCTCTAGTGTTCCTATTTGCTCCCAGAGGCCTAAGCACCCGGCAGAGGAAGGGGCTGTGGAATGGCAGGGTCTTCCTCCTGCCCTGGGGAGCCTGGGACCCTGGTGTCTGAGGGGCAGTGCTGAGATTTTAGAGTCCAAACTCAGGCTCACCCCTCTGCCCTCTCTCCTGGAGGGAACAGGGCAGGCTCCCAAGACTGGAGAGGGAGCCGGTTAGAGCAGGAAGGGGATGAACACGGAGGCACCCCTGGAAACTTTGGCAAAAACAAGGAGCTCAGTGGAAGGGGTGGGGAGAGGGCAGAGCAGGTCCTCCCTCAGTCACTGGTGGTGTCTGGGAGATGGTCAGTCTGCTGCCTGGAGCCCCCAACCCCTGAGACAGGGGAAGTCAGGGGCCCTGGTCAGGGTAGGGGCTGCGGCCCCCTCTGCCCTGGCCCCCAGGAACCTCATCCTCGCTGGAGGCCTTGGGGTGGGGGCCAGGCTGCGAGGAGTCGTCCTCAAACATTTCGGGGTTCTCCAGCATTTCTCGGATCAGGGGAGGCATCGGGCCCGGAATCTCCATCTTCAGGGTAATGGCCCTTTCTGCTCCTGCAATGGAGGGACAAGGAGGTTCGGGGGGGCTGAGGTACAGCCCCTAAGGCTGACACCTTAACCTTGCTGGACTGCCCTCTAGCTCCCCTCTGGGGGCTCCCAGCACCGGCCTGCCACCTCTGTCACCCTCTCCCTATTCTAGGGTTCCCGGGGACTGCTCCTCTGCCTGGAGCCTCTGCCTGTCTTCTCTGCCAAGCCTGTTGCCCATCTGTCCCATCCTTTCAGGCTGTCTCCTCAAAAATCACGTGGTGCCCAATTCCAGCCCCACTCCCTGGACCCTGGACCCCCGCCCCCATTGTCCATAGCTTGCCAGTTGTTCCTAGGGCTGTTCTTTTTTTTTTTTTTTTTTAGGTCTGTTCTTAATAACATTTATAATTAGAACTAATATTTATCAAACACTATCTTCCAGGCATCCTCCTAAACCAGTGTTGTCCAATAGAACTTTCTGTGATGAAGGAAATACCTCCTCTGTCCAGCGCAGGAGTACCTGGCTGCACAGTGTTACTGAGCACTGGAAATGTGGCTACTGCAACGGAGGAACTGAATTTGTAACTCAGTGCAGTTCTAAGCCCACTGTGTGTTCACTCGTTTCATCCTCACAGAACTTAGGAGGTAGCTGTAAGTCTAGCCCAGTTTACAAGCAGAAAAACAATAAAAGAAAAGCACTTGCCCAAGTGTCCCCACTAGCAAGTGGCTGAGCTAGGATGCGGCTGAGCTAGGATGCTCGTGTAGGCTGCCTGGTTCTCACCCACTCTGTTCTTGTCTCTGCCTGACCCAGGAGACCAGCAGCTCCGGGAAGAGAGAGGGGAGGCTCGCTCCCGACTAACCCTTGGTGCTGATGCCCCGGAGGTCAGTGATCTTCATGAGCATCCTCGGGAACATGTAGGGCTGGCTGGGCCGTCGCCGCCGGGCATAGAGCCTCAGGGCTTCCAGCAGCGGCTCCTGAAGCTTGTCCACTTTCTCAGGCTCCTCCAGGTCCATGCGGTCTGGGGGGACAAGCACAGGGGAGTGAGAGAGGAAGAGATGGGGAAGACAGTGACAAGTGGCCCTGCCCTATGGCCCTCCAGGCCCCAAACTTTGACCATGAGCCCCACCCAGGACATCTCCCCTGTTCCAATCCCTTCCCCGCCTCTGGCAAGAGGTTTTCTCTGGTAAATCACTCCTGCCCAGACCTCTATGTCAGCACTGGTATCGGGGGTCTCCTCAGCTCCCCCTGGCTCTTCCCCTCTTCTTGTCCTTTGTTGCAGGCTGCCGGGGAGTCTGTACTGGAGCTGAGGAGTCTGTGGATGGGACCAAGGTCTCCCGCCAGGTGGGAGATCAATCGGGTGTAGGGTGTGGTGGGAAAGCAGTCCGAGCAAACGCCAGGGGGCGCCCCCGCACCTCCGCAGATGAGGCAGATGGCACTGAGCAGCCCTGTCTCTGTATCATCCATCTCCAGTGGCAGGAGCTGCCCAGCAAAGGCAAAGACGAGGTCTGTGAGGGGCCCGAAGCCAGCATTGTGCATCTGGGTCCGGTTCAGGGTCAGCCCGTCAGAGAAGGTCATGGTGTCCTGCTCGGGGGTGTACCTTGTGCAGATCCGCAGCATCTGGAGGTAGGCAGGGGGCAGGGTTAGTGCTGTCTCTGGGAAGCAGCGCTATGGGGACGGGGAAAAGAGGGAATGAGGTGCAGGTGGAAAGTGAGGAGGTTGGGTCCTGAAGGAGGGCCACCTGAAGCTGGCAGGGGGAGCGAGGCAGAGAGATGGAGGGTCTGAAGTTGGGGGAGGGAAGAGAAGTCAGAAGGAGGCAGGGCACCCAGAAGTCTAGGGTCAGATCTCAGGGGCAGAGATTAAGACAAAAAGAGCTTGGGTTTCGAGGAGATCTGGGGAGTCCCAGATTGGAGGGGGGAAGAGAGATAATGAAATCTCTGTGTGGACCAGCTCCTTGGTCTCATATGAGGGTCAGGCTGTGGCAGAAGACAGGCCACGGGTCTTAACTTACTAGGATGTCCAGGCAGGCAGCCTTGAGCAGAGTGATCTGGTCAGCAATGCTGAGCCCCGTAAAGCCGGGCAGCCGTTTGGCAAACTCCACAATCTTGATGATGCACTTGGTGGCTAGCTCGCTGAACTTATCCCACAGCCCCAGATCCAGCTGCACCCGGTGGTCTGCACTGGAGTTCTGCAGGAAGGTCCGGTTAGAACACAAACGAAGGCCTATCCTGGGCGCTGTCTTCTTTCTGCCAATACCCCAGGCTCTCCCTTCTGCATTCAGATGCCCTCCTTGTTTGTCAGCACCGGACCATGGCCTCCAACACAACCCCTACCCGTTCTCCAAAGTCAATGTTCCCCTGCCCTCACTGGGGCCCTGCCCACTCCTCACCGTGGTGTATTTGCCCAGCTGGCAGAGCGAGGGGAAGGTCTCCTGATGGGCTTTGCTGACCTTGGTGATGAGCTCTTCTAACTGGGGGCTCAGCTCATAGCTGTCAAGTGACCCTTCCTCCTTCACCTCTTTCTTCTTCTTGTTCCGATCATTCCGCACAGCTGGGGGGTGGAGGTGCAAGGAGAGGATCAAGACCCTCAGAACCTCCCTCTGGGTATCCCCTCTTACCCTAACTTAATGTGCTCCGGAGCATCCCTTCCCTGGGACCCTGGGCGGGGCCTCAGTTTCCCTGTCTCCCGCACTAGCTCCCATTCCCAGGCTGGCTCTCCCCAGCCCCACCCAGGGCCTGCAGGCCCTGCTCCCTCCCCAGGCCCTTCGGCTCCATCCTGCCCTTCCTGTCACCCTGCAGGAGCTGGGGAGGGGGGGCAGGATATGCAGGCAGCAGGATATCCACTTATAGCCTTGGCAGCACAATGGTGCAGGGGAGGGGGGGCACCCCAGATCCACCTCAGGCTCAGTCCTGGGAGCAGGGGAGGGGACTGGCAAGCCCCCCTAACTTCCCCATGAAACAGGGAATGTGCACCGGTAACCCCCATTCACTCATTCAGAGGAAGGGTTAAGCTCTGAGAAGGGAGAATGGGAAGGGGTGGGGTCTCCTGGGTGAATGGAGCTAATCAAATAGGACTGGCCAGGGAGGAGGCACAGCACTCCAGGGCGGCTGGAGGCTGGACTTGCAGAGGTCAGGAAAGTGGGGGTGGCCAGTGGGAAGAGGGTGGCAACCACAGGCTAGGACAGGAGCACCCCTGCCCAGGCAGGCCTGAGGGCCTACCTTCCTTGGACATGCCGACTTCAAAGCACTTCTGTAGCCGGCAGTACTGGCAACGATTCCGGGTCACCTTGTTGATGATACAGTTTTTGTCGCGGTGACATGTGTACACCATGTTCTTCTGGATGCTGCGGCGGAAGAAGCCCTGGAGTTGGGGGTAAGGGAGGAGGGTCAGTGAAGCAGGATGTTGGGAGTACCAGCCTCTCACAGGCCTTGCAGGCCTGAGCCAATCTATTAACCACCTCTGTGCAAAGCAGCCAGTCCCTCCCACCTCAGAGGGATACCCACCCACACCCAGTGAGTCTCTGATCTCACGCAGGTAACTGGATGCCCAGTGCGCCCGCCTCCAGCACGTACACACCTTGCAGCCTTCACAAGAGCTGACCCCGTAGTGGTAGCCAGAGGACTTGTCATTGCACACGAAGCACGGCTTGTAGACCCGGGGAGGTGGAGGGGGTGAGGGCGAGCTGGGCACCATCTCCTCTGAGCTAGTGCTCTGCGTCTCCACCGCTGTGGGGAAGCAGTGATGTGAGGGTCAGGGAAGAAGGACCCCTCAGATCTCTAGGCATCCTCATCAGATACACACTGCCCCCCCCATTCCCACTTCTTCCTCTGGCTCAGCGGTGACAACACCATCGCCACCACAGTGATTTAAAGTCCCAACAACCCATATACAGCCCCATAGTAAACACGTCCAGAAACCCCTAAACAACCACTACGACCTCCCAGTCTGGCCATCTCCCCCTACAATAATGCCCTACGGGACACTGCTCAATTCTCCAAATTCTAGGTCGAGGCCATCCCAGAAGTTAAATTCTCTGGGCCTCAGTTTCCCCAGCTACAAAGTAGGTGTGTTACGGCCCGTGGCTCTTAACTCTCTAGCCACTCCCTCTCACATCGGGTCCCTGCCGGGTAGTCTCCCTCCTACCCTTCTCCTCCTCACGAGGCCATAGATCTGGGTGTGAGGAGGCCAATTCCAGACCACCTGTGGCTAGCACCTGGCTAAATGGCCAGGAGGTTCAGGAGGCAGAACAGAACCTCGTTTTCTCTCAAGCAGTACAGGGTAGACAATCCTTGAGCTTCTCCCCCTCATATCACCCCCCAAACAATCGCCAGTGTCCTTTTCCCCAGAAACCACGGAGACAGTGGAGGAAATGGGACACAGGTATTGGGAAGGTAGGTTAGGGCACATGCAACAGCCTTATTTTACACCCAAAGAAACTGAGGCCAAGAGAGAGAAGCGACCAGCCCAGTGCCACACTGCCAGTTATGGTGGAGCCAAGGCTCTCAGGTCTTCTAACTAGATCTACGTGACCTGGCCAGGAGTTAGAGAAGTTGGGAAAGGGAGACAGGTATTTGCTCAGATTCTCAGGTCTAGAAGCTGCTGGGGGTGTAGCAAAGCAGAGAAGTCAGGCGACAGTGGGTAAACAGGGCTGATGGGGGAGGGGAGCCATCTCTGGACCCTCTCTGAGCCGTGTCTTCACTCCTAAACTTCCCCTGCAAATACCCAAACACAGCTCAAAAGAGATCTCCGCCCATGCCACGCACAGTGCCGGGGGGGGGCGGGGGGGGAGGACGCCCTCTGTTTGGGAGGCTGCTGAGTAAACCTCTTCTGGGTGTGTGGCTGATCTTCAGAAGCTTGAAAAAAATCTATAAATTATTCAACCTGTAGGACCAGTTGCCCAAACCTGGAGGGCCTAAGTTAACGCAAGAAAACCCTAAGACCCTCCCTAAGGAGCGTCCCTTGCTGGCACCCACCTCATGAACACCTTCTTCCTTCTAACCTGCTGTAGCCCACCTGGTCAGAAGTCCACCCAGGCCACCCGAAGGACAGAAGGAAGGCCCGGACGCAGGGGTTCCAGGCTAGCTCCACCTCCCCACAGGAGGAAAGCCCTCCCCACCCCCCGGCACACACAGACACTCAATTAGCATAAGAATCCAGCTGGAGTGAGATTCCCCAATGAAAAAGGAGAGAGGAGGGGAGGAAAGGAGGGTGCCTGGAGTCTATTCAGGACTTGGTGGGAAATCCGGGGTCGGGCCCCGGGGAGGCGGTTGGTGCTGAGAGATGGGGGGTGGGCTGGAATGCCTTTCAGGATGGTCCCGGTGTCCTCTGAGGGCACGTGTGCTGCCCACAGGCCAGTGCGTGGGGTGGTGCTCACTCGGCGCTGACGCCCTCCCTGCCCGCAGAGCGCTGCCTCATTTCCTCTCTTGCAAAAGGGCCTGGGTGTGGTCAGACTGGCATGGGCCACTGCCAGCCAATTATTATGAGACTGGGGGTGGCAGGGAGACAGGCCCAGGGGCAGCTTTTCTCATATGCGTGGTACTGTCACCCCTTCTCGGAACCCCTCTGGCACACTCCCGTCCCTGAACCCTAAAGCGCAGCCCAGTAGCTCTGGTCAGTCTGGGAGCAAAGGGCACAGGAAGGCTAATCGTTGTCACTCCACTGAGATTCCCTTCTCAGCCCTGGGCAGAGACCCCAGCACCGGGGGGATGCTGCTCCTGGCTAAGCAGGGGCCCCTGCAGGGGAGGAGGGGGGTGGCTCTGGGGTTTTCTCCTTTTAAAGCCCAAATTGCTGAAATTGAGGAAATTCCTGGCCAGGCTGTGCGGAGCTTCAAACAAACTCTTTATAACCGGCTGTAAACACTCCCAGCTGCGAGGCCCAGGGCCGAGAAGCCTGGACTCACAATCTGACACACACCTCCTTGGAGACACTCTCACACTTCAACAACACATTGGGCACAAAAGCAGGCACTTTACCAGTGGGCTCCTATACCCCAGCGGGACCCTGGCACAAAAGAACACCCAGGCAGGCGGGCACAGAGGCACACTCACTCCAGCCACACCGTGGAGCTGGATGCACAAGTCATAAGGAGGACACACAACACCCAGCGCTCGCTTCACCGTTGCAAGCGAGAAGCTCTGCCCCCAAACACCCACGGCCTGCCAACGCAGCACCAGGACACCGACGCTGCCAGATACAAACACACCAAAGGACCTCTTTCCTTCCCTGGATTACACACACAGGTCTAAACTACTTTCTCTCTGAAAGTGTGTGGAGCAGGCCCGAGGCCCACCAAGACCCTAGAGGCCAAAATTGTTGGTCCAAACTGAAATGCAAAAACATACTGCCAGCCAAGTCCCACAGGCTTCCCTGGGCCTGAAAAGGATGGGGTTCCTGCCCAGCCCCCGCAAAAACCCTTCCTGGGAGATTCTCTCCATCTCAGCACCCCTCCCAACATACCCCACGTCCCCATTCTATTGGGCCATGAGAGAAGGTTAAGAATTCACAAGGATTTGGTGCAAGGCAATAGTTCACACTTTCCCCGCCCTTTAAATGCTACGCTTTTCATTCTTGCCCCACCCCACCTCACGGTACTGTTTGCCACCTCCCTCTTCCAGTCTCCCAGTTGTTAAATCTGAGCAGCTCTGCCCTGCAACCAAAAGACCAAAAAAAAAAAAAAAAGCTGATCTCGTAAACAGCGCTGCCGAGTGCCAAGGAGCGAGGCGCGTTGGCGGGGGCTCAGTGACCCCGCGCGCGCACTCCCAGGGCGCCCGCCGCCCGCCCCTTCCCAGCGTGCCCCCCAGCCCCGCGTCCCCGGGCTCCGAGCGCCGTCCCAGGCCCGGGGAAATTCGGGGGTGTTCCAGGCTCCCCTCCCCACCCCCCCTACCCCCGCCAGGCACTTCAGCCCGGGCTTCAAAGCCGCCTCTCATCTGGACTTCATTTTTACTGCCTCTCAATCCCCGGCTTTTTATTACCGCTCTGGAAAGGGGTTCCAGGGCCCCAGGCCTGGCATCTCCCATTTCACAGAAAAGGGAAGGTGGATATTTGGGGACCCAGGAGTCCCGCTCCCCCCGCCGCTGCCACCTCCAGGCCACTCCTCACCGTAAGCCCAACTTTTATTGAAACTTTTCGTTTCCTACTGAAGTTGTGGGCTCGAGCCATAGGAAAAAGTGCACACAACCCTATACACATTTCCTAAAATTTCTTTTCTCAATGGGGGAGGGGGACGCCAGAACCCAGCCTGGCCCCGCTTGCGTGCACAACCCCTTACACCCCGCACGCAGCACACACAGAGGGTGCACGCTCGAACACAGCACTTTCCAAAACCGCCCCCGCAGCCACGCAGGGCACACGCCCTCCCGGCCTCAAGTCACAAACATCCCCACACGGGGCCATGCGGACCTGCCAACGCTGGCGGAGGGCGACGCTGCTTGGAGAGACCCTTACGCCCACACCCGCACCGCCTAAGCGAGGCGTTGCACACTCCAGGGATGCACACGCTCTGCAAATAATATTTTTACACTCGCGACTTCCCACATGGACTTTACGAACTCCACTCACGGTCCTGGGTGCCATAACCCTCCCGGGCCACGGACCTGCCGGCACAAACTACCAACGCACCTCGGCCTCTCCCTATCCCCGGGAACTCTGGAGGGTCACCAACCACAGGTCCTAGCTATACACCCACCATAAAAAACACACACACTCTCCAAACACTACTGTACACACCCAAAGGAGTCGCTGAGGCCCCCACGTTTAAAGGGCCAGTACCTCTTTCCTACACACCCGGCCCTCACATGGAAAGGGTCAGAATCTCCGCTTGCAACCCAAGTCCACCTTTTACACACGGAACGAGAGAGCCGCTGCCTGTCCTGCACCCCGCACCCCACCCCCCAATGTAGGGCTCGGGTACCTACATTGCAGACTGGCGGGTTGCGGCCAGGCAAAAGACTCGAGTCCGGCGAAACAGGAGCTGCCGGTGGCTCTGCGCAGCAACCCGGCCCCGGGTCCGGCTGCCCCGTACAGCCGTCGCGGACCCGGGGCAAACGTTTCCATGCAGTCGTACATCGCGACCCGGCTTGGAGGGAAGCTGGGTGCTAGAAACACCGAGGACCCGCAGCCGATTCCCCCTCCTCCCCCGGCGGCGCCCCGCTCCTGGAGGGGGGGAGGGGGAGGGCTAGCATAGGGCGCCGGGCTGCATAGGGGGTAAGGGGTGGGCGGGGAAGAAGGGGATCCCCAGCAGGGGAAAGGGACTGGGCGGGGCGCAGAGCCGGGGCTGCCGCTCCAGCCGCTGTCCGCCTCACTCTGGGCGCCTCGGCGGCTAGCACTGGGGAGACTTTTTGTAAAAGCGAAGCCCGGCCGGGTGGGGGGTGGGGCTTGGAGCGCTAAGGGGGCCGGGCACCAAGATGAGCAGAGCTGGGAGTGGAAGACACGCACTCGCACCGTGGCGCGCTTGCTTGCTCAGACACACATCCGAGCATGCATTTATCTTGGCAGGCACCACGCATCTGCAAATAGGCAATAGTGCACATGCATGTCTGCACGCGCATAAAATTAGAGGTGTACACACGTTTTTGCAAACACACCTGGCTCGGGAGAACGCTTGCAAGGATTCTCTCTCCACTGCTCGGAGGCTTTGCAAGCTTTTGCACTTAGGCGCGTGCCAAGGTCGAGGATGGGGGAAAGAGTGGAGAAACCGAGCACACGCATTTCCTTTCGAGTTTCCCCTCCCCCCAGCGCTCCTTTTTTTACACAAGTCAGTACAGGCAGGGGTGTCAAGGAGGACTGGGGAGAGGAAACATGTAAGTTCCCTGCGCGCGGCACTTCTCCAGAGCCCAGGGACCTGCACTACCTCCACCCGCTCATTCCCAGGCCTGGCTCCTCCCTCTCCCTCCGCGCGCGCGCTGCAGGGCCGAACATCACATTCCTGCGGCTCGGCGCGCGCGGCCTGCTCCTTCCTTCCCGTCCTCCCACCCCCGGTCGGAGGGCCGGAGCGCGCTCCCGCCGTGAACTCTCCGGGAACCCCCCTCGGGGCGGGTGGCCGGGCGCGCTCACCTCCTCCTGACCCGGCCCCGCCCCACCCCGCCCAGGCCGTAGCCCGCGCCGCCGCGGAGCCCCCCCCCCCGCCCCTCCTGCGCAGCCGGAGTCTACCCTTCTTAGGCCGAGGAGTGCTCCCTCCGCCGCGGCCCGGGCCGCCTGCCTCCGAGTCCCCCAAACCCCATCCTGCGGCTGACACTCCCGGAGCTCATCCAATGCCCCTTCCTCGAACCTGACTTCAGCACAAGACTCCCACCCCAAACTGCTCCCGCCGTGCCAGCTGCGCCTCGGACGACACTGCCTTCCTGAGTGCCAGCTCCCCGCCCCCAGAGTCGCTACCGTGCCAGTCGCCCCCAAGTGCCAAGTGCCTCTTCGGCAATAACTGCGCGTCTGGTCGGTAACCGTTCTCAGAGTCATTAAATACCCCCACCAGTGGCAAACTGCCCCTTCTCCCCTTCAACGCCACACTTAGTGCCCTTCGGATCTCCGAGGGCCGCCCCACTCCTCCCTCGCGGGCCCCTTCCGGGCACTGAGTGCTCTCGACCGGCGGAGAAGGGGGTGGGGGGGCGGGAGTTGGGCCACGTCAAGAGTTTGCCCTCGCCGAGCCGGGCCGAGTCGGGGACCCTGGCCCCGGGACAGCGCCAGCGGCGGCGACTCCCGGAAACCGCCCCCTTCCCCGCGCCCCGCCCGCCGCCCGGCCGCCCGGCCGCCCGGCGGGCCGGCCCAGCCGGCTCTGTCAGCGCCGCTCACAAGGGGAGTGCCGGGGGAGCGGGAGAGGCGCCCGGCCCGGCCCCTTCCCCCTCCCGGCGGCGGTGGCTGGGCCAGGGCGGGGCGCGCTTTTCTAAGAATCTGTTGTACCGGGTGGGGGGCGCACTGGGGTGCCGCAGGAGTGGGGCGCCAGTTTGGAAGAATAAAGAGCAGGAAGGGGTGCCAGAGTAGGCGAGGGAAGGGAAGGCAGGCGCGGAGGAGGGGCCGGGGTGGCTGCCGGGGACTGAAAGGGGCAGGGCTGGGAAGGAGGGCCTGGTTGGCGGATGGGGGGCCGCGGGGTGGCAGGGCCGACTCGGGGGACTCGTAGCAGGGATGAAGAGGGAATGCATTGCTCTTTCCAGTCCAGCCTGAGCTCCCTGTTCTTGCCCCCAACCCCAAATACCCCATTTCTGACTCCAGCCATCCCCCACAAAAAGAAAAAAGGGGTGACAGACTTCTGAATCAGAACATGGCCAGTGGCAAAAAAAAGTCAATTAAGTGCAAAGTGGGGAGTACCCCCAAAATAAGGGGAGAAGAGAGCCCTGATTAGTCAACTGTAGGCTGTCAGTCCCCCCCACCCTTCCCCCTCCGAAATCTGAAAGGTCCCAATTAAGTCAGGCCTGCCTGGTTGGTAATTAGAACCAGAAGTGGCCAGGCCACAGGGAGGGGGGTTGGGAGTGGGGCACAGGAGGAGTGGGGGGAGGGCTCCAGGAAGTCATGAGTTCTCAATAGCCCCCTTTTCTCTCCACCAGATGCACCCCACTCCTCATCACCCCATCTGTGTGTGCTTCCCAGGCATTGCAGGGAGAGGGGGCCTTAGAAAGGACCAGGCATTGGGGTGTCAGGCCCACCCTAACCTCCAACCACGACCCCCCATTCTAGACAGTCTTAGCCTTGAGGAGAAGGTAAGAGGATGGGGGAATCTAGTGCCCCCTCTTTTCCCCAAAGTCCCCCCAGCCCTTATTGCAGCAATTAGACCCATTAGCCTTCTAGCATTTCATGGGAACCAGATGTTCTCCACCAGCCTGGTGGGAGTATGAGGGGGGGCTGCTGCCTGACTCACCCCCTTCCCTGTGATCCCCACCACCAAGGCGCACCCCTCCCAGCTAGAGCCCCACAAAGTCATGGCCCCAGAGGCAAGGAGAAATGTACCCCTCCCCCACTAATGAAGCCCTTCGCACTGAATCTGGTGTGGTCACCCCTCAGAGCCTCTACCACCCTGGCAAGGATGAATTTGGCCAACAGGAGGCTGTGCGGGGAGGAACAGCTAACCCCTTCATCCCTCCTTTCCTCCCCTCCTGCCACCTTCTGGAAGGGGCTTGAGGATAACTGGCTCTGAATTCCTCAAGCTAAATTCTCCTTTTCTTCCAGAACCTTCCCTCAAAAAACTGAAGTTGGGGCATTTCAAAGCAAAGGAGGCCCCACCCCAAGGGTAAGTCCTAACTTAGGAGTCCCACCTGAAGGGCAATAGGAGGGGTCTCTGGAGGAGGGGGCAGCAGTGGAGCGAAGGAATAGGGAGGTGTGAATGAGGGACGGGCCCCAAAGCAGGAGTGCTGGGCAGGATGGGGGCTGGGACCGGGGAGGGGGCCAGGAGAGGGGGGTGCAGCCTGGGCCCCAGCGGCGGCAGCTTGCCCAGCTCCCCCCGCCAGAGAGGTTTCCTGTTGCAATCAAAGCCCCGTTTGTGTCGGCCTGGAGCTGGAGCCCGAGCCTGAGCAGGAGAGACCAGGGAGGGGAGGGGAAGGAGGCAGTCGGCTGGGTTTTTTTCCTGGAGGAGGCCTCGCTGCCGCCTGCTCACCACCGGTACCGCCTGCTTAACAAGGCCCTTTGCCTCTCCCGGAGTCTGGGTTCTCTCTGTGTCTGCGCCTTTCAGCCTGTGTTATTTCCCTCTCATCTCGTTTAGGTCTCTGAGTCTCTCTTTTTCAGTTTCTTTTAAGTAGAACTCTTTTTCTTCCTGTGCCAGCCTGCTCTCAGTTTCTCCATGTGACTTAGTATATGGTGCAGCCTGGGCTCCTTTGCCCAGAGACACTGTCACCAAGTTCAGAGGACAAGCAGAGCTAGGTCCTCAGGACACCAGCTATCTCCTCAAGACGGGGAGGAGGGCAAGGCTTCCCTTCCCTCCCATCACACTCTGTTCCCTGCAGTCTCGATAAAACAAACATACAACTCACCAGTGTTCATAAACATGGAGATACACGAGGACACAGATAGCAGGGTTTTATGCATGTGTGTGAGCAAGCACACCCAAACCTGTGTGCGTGTGTGTACACACACACAGAGACACACACACACCCCTCCGCTTTCCCACGCACACAGGCCTGTGCTGCCCCGGCGGCCGCAGGTGCTCCCCTTCCCACTACCCTCCTCCACCATGAGGTTCTGAGACGCCTGTCTTAACCACTCAGGCCCCTAGAGCACCCCAACAGATGGAGCAAGGCTGCCCTTCTCAACATGGATGTCTCCAAGGTGCTAGGGACCCAGCAGTAGGATTCAGGAGCCAGCCCCAGGGAGAAGTTCCAGACTCCTTCAGGGACCATCCCCAGTCCCTCCCACAGATCAGGGGAGAGAGGCTGAAAGAGACCCAGACTCCAGGTGAGTGTGGCTTTGGCATCAGACTTAGGCCTCCAATCCCCCTCCATTAGATGTCCCAGCCAAAAAGGGACAGCAGGGCAGAGAAGTGAGAGAATACGCTTTCCCCCTTCAGCCACTGTCCCACTGCGGGAGGTCTCCCAGACTCCAGGATCCCCTCCTCTCCCCACTGGTCCCTCTCATTCACCACTAGGTGCTGCGTGCCCCACTCCCATGCAAGCTGTCTGGACCCAGGCCTTCCCCTCCTCCCCACTCCACTGCCCCCTCTCTGCCCAGGCCTGTCCCCCTGCTGCCAGCCGCACCCTCCCCAGCTACCTGCCCTGGTTCTGACTCCTCCCTGGGATTTCTTCTTTCAGCCCCTCCTCCTGCAGGGCGACCTTTGGGGATGCAGCCTAGTCTGACCGCTTCCCCTACCTTGACCTCACTTTGAACCCTGACCTTGGTCTCAGTGTGTCCAGGGCACAGGGGCACATGGAGAACTTCACTGGGGACTGGCTGCTGGCTCTCGGCATTCTCCCCGCCACCACTCTCTCTACTCTGCCTCCTCACTCACGCTCCCTTAGCTGCCTCAGGAACTCTGGAAAATCAAGTCCCAAGATACTGAGTTGTACTGCCCTCTGCAAGAAGTACATTCATGTGGGGAGGGTGGTTCCCTCCCACCCCGCAGACCCTGGGACAGATTCTTGGGGTGCAAATGAGGTAGGGGAAGACCAGCTGAGGTTTCCAGATAGGGGGGCTTTGTGCTCTCTCGTTCACCTGCGTGCCACCCAAATAACCCCTGTTGGACTACAGACAGGCCACCGGCCGGCCTCACCAAACCCCAGACACACCGTCAGCAGCCCTATGAAATACTGCCTCACTCTTCACACTGACTCTTTGTTGCAACCCTGGAATTCTGTATGTGAGCAGCGTCTCAGGGCCATGCCGTGCACACACAACTGCATATGGCCTCTCACACACAACACACCCCTTCTCTAGATGAGCAAGCTCTTTCCAGCAGAGCTGCCAGCCAGGCCTAGTCACCCCTTCACACACACACACACACACACACACACACACACGCACGCACACCCCTCTGAGTGCTCCTAAAGGCAGGCCCCTTCTCTCCACCTCTCTCTCTCTCTCTCTCAGCTTATGGAGCTATAAAGGATGTCTTTATCTTCTGGTCTTTTCTTTTCCCTCTCTCTTTCTCTCTCTCTGGAACTGCCCCTCTCTCTATCACCTCCCCTTCTATCCAGGTGGAGGCTTCTCTGTACCAGCTCCCACACTGAGGCCAGCATCCCAGCCTTCCAGCTCATGGGCATCCACGCCTGTAGTGGCCTAGCGAGGAGGAACAGCTACCAAGTGGAAGGAGAGGGGATCCAGAGGGATGAAGGGAGGCCTAAGGCTTCTGCTGTCAGCACTCAAAGGCTTCACCCAAAGAGGGCAGGCCTGAGGGACAAGTAGGGATCTGCACAGCATGTGGGTACCGTGCCAGACCTAGAGAGAGGGGAGGAGTCCACAACCCACATGGCTGGAGGAGAGGATGCTTCTGGAACACCCCCTGCACCTCCCCGGATTACTTATGGTACAAGAGCTACCTTCTTTGCTGCTGTTTCCACCCTCCCAGAACCAAGAGGGAAGTTTCCTGACCCTACACATCTTTGGGCACCTGGCACTAGGTTCCATTCCTCTTTTTGCAGGCTCCCCCTAATTCAGAACAATTTTACCTCTTGATCACAGAGTTGGGGTATTGGCCTCCCAGACTCCTCCACTTCACAGCCTGGCTCCCCACACCCCGCACTGCAGGCAGGCAGCAGCCTCAGACTTCACCAGACCCACCCTTGGCTGCCCATACAAAGGGGTTCTCCCTGCTAGTTGAGTCATTCAGGAGGCAACTGCAGAGCCCCAAATTTTAGGCGTTCTACTTTCCCATTCTAGTTGCACAGGAGAACTCTCATTTGCAAGCACGTCCATTGGCTCCACATCCAAACCCCCTCGTGGCTACCCCTGTCACCTCCTCCATTAGATCAAACCCCCAGCCCTGCCTGTCTTCCTAACCGGGACACCAATTTTCTCTATCATCCACCCACGAAATGCCCTCCTGTTTCCACTTGCCCTCATCCCCCAAGATCCCTGAGACTCACACAGAGAGGCCATCTCCTTGGGGAGGTCAGGCTGGCCCAAGCCCCGGAAGCTAGGACTCAGCATCTCGAAAGGTGGAGACCCCCTGAGTGCCCCTGGGAAGGCGAAGGGGAAGCCAGCCCCTGGGTAGCCAGAGCCAGGCCCCAGGGCACCAGGCGTAAAGAGTCGCTCCTTATTGGTGGCCATGGCGGCTGCAGTGTGGGAGGCTGAATCCCCTGGGGTCTGCAGTGGGCGGGGGACTTCTTCAGCCACAGCCCCCGCCCATGCCCACTGCCCTGGCCTGGGAGGCTCCGTGCCCGCCCTGCTTGGCCTGCTCACTGGGTCTCCAAGGCTCCTAAGGAGAAAGAAAGGAAAAGGAGGGATGAGAGAATGATCGCTCTGAGGTTCCAAGCCCCATGGCCCTCTCCCAGCTGGAGTCTTTTCCCTCCTTGCTGCCCTCTGCCACACAGTAGGGGAGGCAGGGCAGGTGCTGATGCAGGCTCAGAGAAACTCTCCTGGAAGGGTAACTTGAGTTTCCAAGGTGAATCACGGTCTTCAAACTCCTGGCAGAGAGGACTCCTAGGCTAAGAAGTGACCATTACACACCACCATGGGCTGGACACTAGATTTAACCCTCACATCAACCCTGTGAAGTAGGAATTATGATTCCCATTTCACAGATGAGGAAACTGAGGTTTAGGGACTAGTTTAAGGTCACATGGCTGTAAAGAGTAGAGCCAAGACTCAAACTCTCTACCATCCTGGAGAAAGCAAACGTATCTGTTTTAACATTTTTGTTAAAAAATGTTACACCTCTCTGGAACACAGACTCTGGAGCCAGACTACCTGAATTGATCCCCACCACTTGCCAGCTGCAGGACCTTGGATGTATTAGTGTTACTTAATCTCTCTGGGCCTCAGTTCCCTCCTTTGTCAATTGGGAATCATAATAAGCCTCACTTCATAAGGTTATTAGGAGGCTTAAATAATTTACCATATGTAAAGTGTCTAGAATAATATAGGGCACATACTAAATGCTATATAAATGTCTCCGGTTCTTTCTCTTTGTACCTTCTCTTCCTCCATACCTCTCTTTTAATTTGCATTTCCTTTCTTTCCACCTTCCTCAATACTCCCTCTCCCGGTTTCCCCTCGCAATTCTGTCTCTGTCTCCAATTATCCCTCCCTCCCTAACCTCTCCTCAAATCCACAGAGGTTAATGGAAGCCCCGCTGTGTCCCAGGTATGATGCTAAGAAGCTCCTCTCCCTGTCCTTAGTTTACTTTGCTTCTCCATCTCTTCTCTCTCTTTCCTGAGCCCTCTGCTTATAGGAAGCCCTCCCTACATCCTCCCCTCCCTCAAATGTAACCTGACCTCAGAGGTTTTTAACCTGAGCCCAAGGGAGGGGGAGGGGAAGGAGGGAAAGAGGAAGTGGGAATCCCAGGGCCAGGCAGGTGGTTCCTCTCCTGATGCTCTGACACGGGAAAGGTAGGCTTTCCCAGGAGCCTCAGAACTACCCACCTGTCTAGGGAGTTAGGGGCTGGGGAAGGAGAGTCACCCCAGCCTGGAGGCCTCCTCTACCAGCCAGAACCATAATGGACTAGATGAAGAAGGACAGAGAAGGGCCGAGAGAGAGTGAAACACAGAGTCCTTGGGGTGGGCAGGCCCAGAAGTAGATGACGGGTATTTTGCATCTCTTTCCATCAGTCTTTGCTTCTAAGATCAATATCGCTCCGTCTTTGTACCTCTGCTTTTTTTCTTCCTTCCTTTTCTATCTCTCATCTGCCTTGGCCTTCAAGCTCCTGAGGGTAAACTGGATGGAGGTTACAGGAACTCAGACCCCAAGCCGCCACCCTTCACTCAGTCCCTCACTAGCCACCACCCAGCTCCCCAGCACCCTGACTCTTCAGCCCAGTGTCTCCCCAAGCCCTAAAAGTCTGAGCTATGAGCCCCCAGGATCCACCTCCTTTACCTTCCCCTATTCCCTGAAGTCCTTGTCCCAGGTTAAGCCCAGGTAGAGCCAGGCGTCCGGGCCCCTGAGGCCCCTGGGCCATAGCTCAACAGGCTGGGCCACATTCCAGGTGGATTAACCCCTCCAATGCTAAGGATGAGAAGCTACTAGAGGTCCCCCCCACCCCATCTTCCCCAGACTGGCCTAGACTGAGAACCCGGCTCTGGGCTCCAGCACTCACTATCTTTGCTTCTCACCTGCGGGTGGGAAACAGAGACCTGGGGGTGGGGCAGGAGGACTTCGAGGGTCCCAGAGAGGGATGCTCGGGCTCCTGGTCCTTACGGAGGAATGAAGCTGTGAGGGAGCCAAGCTCTCCCTGGCCTTCCTCTTATTTTGCCTCAGAGAAGGAACTTGAGAGTTGAGTGAACAGAGGAAGGGGACAGAGACGCATCCCACTTCTGAGCCTTGGTTTTCTGCCTTGGCTAGGAAGGGAAGGGGAGGGTCCTAAGTCCTGGGTAGAGGAAGGGACCAAGGAATTGAAGACAGTGGTACACAGCGTAAAAGGAAATCCTAAACTAGGGACCCAGAGGTCTTGGTACTTTGGGGGACCTGAGGAAGGGAGAATGTACTTCTTTCCTCCCAAGGTGCCACCTCAGACTGAGGGGGGCTGACCAGGGGAAAGGGGCCCTTGAGAAGTTGCTTCTCTTCGAGCTGAGGTGGAGTTGAGGGGAGGGCATGGATGAAGGGGGCTGCTGGATGGAGGCGGTGGGGGTGGGGGGGCGTCTCTCTGCCGTCCTGCCCGCTTCAGAGCCTGGAACAAAGCTGCCCTTGTCGGCTGCACTCCACCCGCTGCCCCCCTCCCCTCTGTATAAACACGACCACCTTTTTCCATGACCCCATCCCCAGCCTGGGCAGAGAACCCGGGCATCCTCTGCTCTAGCCTGGGCCCCCAGCCTGCTCCCCGGGAGGCAACAGTGGGCTGGGTTTCCCTGGCCTCGTGCCACCCTTGAGGGAGTCCAGACCCTTGAGTCTCCACCTCCCATTACCAGGTGCCTTCCCTCTACCTCACTGGCCCCAGGGAGGGGCAGTACCCAGGAGGCAGGCAGGCAAGGCCGGTGGAATGTGTGTGGGCATCAGAGGGCATGGGTAGGGTGGGGCAGAGGGGGGAACTGGAGGTGCCAGTTGGGTGGCTTTCTGAGCCAGGGGGTGGGGGTGTGCCGGGACGGGGGTGTGTGCCCTGTGCTGCCTATTAGGCTCTAAGCCACGGCGTGTGTGTACATGTGTGTGTGAGTGTGTGTTTCCCTATTTGGGATACCCAAGCTCCAGGCACCCTTCACACACTGCCTCCTGCCCCCTTCCCTGTCCTCTGTTTTCTCGCCTCCAGGATATGGGACACTGCCTGTGGTCCTCAACCCCCAGTCAGCATCTGAGGAGTGATGGTAAGGGGTAAGGGCAGGAGCCTCAGACCTGAGGACTCGGACGGTAGCTGCCCTGGATGTGGGCCCTGAAGGGGCACAGTCATCTCAGGTTCTTGCCCTACGGGTCCCTCCTCGGGCTCCCTTGCCCACCACCCCACCTCACCCCCTGCCCAACCCTGCATACTCTTACTCTCTGGCCACCTGCAGAGATTCCCTCCTACAAACTGGGTCAGGTTGAGGGAACTGGGCTGTAAAGTGCTAGAGACAGTGAGGCAGCGTCAGTGAGGCTCCAGGACTGGAACTCCCAGGTCCCTGCCCCAGTCTCCCTGTTCTTCCTTTGTACCATTCGGGCTCCCCTCAAGAATACTCCAGAGGAGCCCCCGACCTTGGCTGGAGGGAGCCCGGACTCACACCCAAGGTTGCGGATATGAGAGGGAATCCTGCACTGCGGTTCAAGGCAACTTCACAGACCCCTATCCTATCCATTTGTCTCTCCAAACTGCTGGACCCAGACGGCCAGAATCACTTGCCTCTGGACCTTTTCCTCGCCCTTCTGTTGTCCAAGCTGTGGCATTCCACTAGGGAAGGATCAGCGCGGACCAGAAATCCTCCCCTCGGATTCCCCAGGGAAAGCCTCAGGGGAGGCGGATGGTGGACCTTCCCCGCAAGAGGGGACCCTATCTGCCCTCACACTCCAGGCACAAACATAGGATAGAAGGCCCCTGGCTGAAGACTCTTCCCTCAAAGCTCTCCCCGACTACTCACCGCAGTGAAGGGTGGATAAAGCCCAGCCCAACCCAGCCTGTCTAAAATCTTCCCCATTCCCTTCCCACATCAGGGCTGACCCCCAAGTCGGGGCAGGAAGTCCCCCTCCACCCCTGCGGATAGCCGGACCAGCGCGGGGGGGAACTGAGCCGGCGTGGCTCCCGGCGCCCCCGCCCCCGGCCCACCTCGCCGGAGGACCCGGGCGTCCGCGGCGGCCGAGCCTGCTTCCCCGCCTGACTCACCTGGAGGGGGAGGGAGGGGGAAGGGAGGCCGCCGAGCCCCGAGGTCCCGGCGTCGGGCGGTCGCGGGGATAGAGCGTCGCAGTGGCAGGGGCTCTCGGTGATGGGGGGCTCTGGGGGGGGCACAGACTCTAGGCTGGGACGGTCCCGGGGCCTCTCGGAGCCCGCCCGCCCACGTGACCGCCCCAAAATATCCGACACATTTTCTCCCAAACCGCACACTGACTCTGCAGGCGGGGACACGGAAAATATTTTCTTTCTTTTTCTCCCTCCCCACCCCCCCAACATCCCTCCCAGCCTGGCTCCCTCCTCCCCCTCCCGCCCTCGCTCCTCCCTCCCCTGCCGCCTGCCCCTGCCCGGCTCCCTCCTCGGTGCCCTGAGGCTGGGGGGCGGGGGGGCGGCGGGGTGGGTGGGAGGGGGGCTGGGCGGGGCGGGCCAGGACGCCTGGGTCTCTGTCCCGCCCATTTGCTGGGCTTCCTTGGCTCCGTCCCCGGGAGGCCGGGCAAGGCTGGCAGAAGAGGTCAGTGTCCTGGGCCCATGATGCTACCCTTTCTCTCTGGCACTTTTCCCCTTCCTGCCATTTGGGGGGACTGGTTGAGTCCTCTGGCCGGGCTGTGGTTCACGGAGGCCAGTTTCCGTACCTCTGCAGGGTAGGCAGTGGGGGGCTGTATCCACGTCCCCCCAAGGGGTGGAGTGACTGCGCAGGGATATGCCAGAGCGGATGCCACTGTCTTTACCCTTCGCTTAGCCTTCACCTGCAGGTCAAAGTAGGCTCCACTTCCGCTTGTCTACCCCAGCCTGTCCTTTGGTCCCAAGAGCAAACTGGTTGAACTAGTGGAGATTGTGCGGATGCTAAGTCCCGGGCTTCAAGACCTCTTCCCTGTCACCCTGCCTTGAGTAAGCTTGGGCTAGGGCTTCTGGGTCCCTGGCTGCCTACATTTAGGCTGGGGTGGAGGGCAAGGGGAACTGTAGCTGGGAGTGGAAGGAGCCTGGGGCTGGGTGTGAGGGGGAAAGCCCAAGTCGGGGGGTGTGTCTGCCTTACCTAGAGCCTGCCTGCCTGCCTGCCTGCCTGCTGGATGCACCACAGATGTTGTTGACTCCAGCCGCGCGTGCGTGTGCGTGTGTGTGTGTGCAGGCACGTGCAACCAGTGTCAGTGTCAGGGTCTGATGGGGACATTTCTCTGACTTCAATGTGACCACCACAGACTCTCAGTCCTAGAGTAGGAACCCCGGGGCGTCAGCGTCCATTCTACTGAGGGCAGAGCAAGAGAAGAGTCCAAGCTCTATACATGGAGCTCCAACATTCCTACAGGAGCTAGGGTGGGAGAGAGAAAGTGGAGAAGGGCAGCAGTAGCAGTGGGGGCTGGACTCGGCTGGAGAGATGCGCCCAAGGGACCTTCCCCAGCAACAGTTCTGGGGTGGCCAGCACTGGGGACACTGAGTCTTGGTCACGTCACGTTTCCCATACCGGAATCACTTTGCTCTGTCCTCACTGCCACCCTAGGGACCAGGTAGCCTCCCTCCGGGGAAAGGGAAAGGCCACTTCTGGTAGCCAGAGTCAGGCGAAGGGGAGAGGAAAGAGGGGCCTGCTGTGGCTCTCTCAGGAGAACAGGAGCCGTTGATGGGGTGCAGACAAGGCCCTCCCTTTCACACTGGGGGTGGGAAGAGCCGGGAACAGGTACTCCAGGGTCCCGTCCCCAGGTGGCCTGGCTGCTGTTGACTTTGCTTGGTTACCCTGGGAGCAGCTCTCAGCAGTGTGAGAGGGGCGGGTGTCGGAGAGTTGGACCGAGGCGTCCAGGCTGGGGTGGGATGGCACTCAGCCTTTGTGGCAGGGATCCCCGTCAGGAGCCTGCGAAGTTAACCCCTCCTGCCCTGGTGGTGGTGGTAGCTGGCGGAAGGAGGGCGGGCCCAGCTGCGGTTCGTGAGTGTGGCCCTAATTCCCCTTCCCTCTCCCAGCACATCTGCACTTGGTTTACAGTGAATGAGTCTCCTGTCCTCATGAACCGGGTGAGAGCACCACTCCCTCCCTGGCCCCTGGCCGGGCATCCTGACACAGAACCAGACACCACCCACCCCTGGAACGCTCTCCCTGCTGGGTAGCCCTTTCTCAACTCTTCCCCTTCTCCTTCTTACAGGGGCTCAGGGTCTGGTCCCCCAGAGCTAGAGCTCTGAGACTATGCAGCCGGGGTAGCAAACGGGGCCAGGGAAGCTAACGGGGGACAAAACTCTTGGGTAGCCTGGAAAGAGAGAGCGGGTCTGGAATTCCATCTGTCTCTGCCTTCCTCTTTGTCTTGGTTTGTCTGTCTGTCTGCCTCTGTCTTTGTCTCTGGTGGGTGTTTGTCCATCTGTCTTGGTAACTGTGGCTCCGCCCTTCTGGCAGCCTGTACGGTCCCCAGCCAACGACAGCAGCCAGGGGGCGATGCCCAGGAAGACCCGCCCTGTGCCGGCCCCTCCCCTCGGGATTGCCTCGCCTCCGCCCCCGCCTCTCCCCAGGACCCAATGACTGGGGTCTGTGGGCTGCAGCGGTTTGGAAGTCAAACCAAACAGGCAGACTGGGGAGCAGAGAAGAGGGGCATTGTGAGGGGTTCAGATTCTTCTCTCCATCTTGCATTGCTGCCTGTGCTCTGTCCAGGGATTCTCGGAGGAAGCTGGAGAAGGGGGTCTCCCACTCTGGAAACTGGTAGCGAGAGCTCCCCTCATTTCTCTTTCTCTTGGGTCATCCCCAGTTCTAGGCTTTGCTCTGTTTGTGGTTGCTTCACTTGGTCACCCTGGCAACTTGGAGAAAGTGATATCTTGGGGGCCCTAGGACCAGGCTTCCTTTGCTCCCTTCATCACGAAGACCAAAAGGAGAGATTGTGAGGAGAGGAAAAGGATCCACACATCTGTCCCAGCTGCCCTGATTTACCGTATTGCCCGCCCCTAGTTTTCACCCTTGCCGGCTCCCCATCAGCATCAGGACGCTGAACAGGCAACTTCCCCATGCCCAGGCTGGTACTGGGAGGATGTCCTAGGCCACGCTCAGAGGTGGCTGGCAGATGTCTTTGGGAGGTGGGGGGAGCTATGTTACAACCCCCAAGGACATCATTACGGCACAGAAATACCATCGGGGCTTGGAGACCAGAGGCACCCAGGGAGAGCGTGAGGAAAACATGTACAACATGTGTCTTCTTTCCCTTCCTCCCCTCCTCTCCCACCTCCTCCCCCTAGGCCTGCTCTGTGCCGAGGCTGGTGCCAGCCTTGCCCTGGGTGCTTGCTCAGTTCCACCCCTTGTATCAGGCCTATGTTGCTGCTTGCCAGTTTGTTGGTTCTCCTGGTGAATGAGTTTGTGTGTGGAAGATACTTACCAGCCTCAGAGCTGCCCAGATCCCCACATAGAATAAGGCCTCGATTTTGAAACACAGCATTTTAGGACTGGCCTAAACAACTCGAGGAATTTCTTCCCTGAACATGCACCATTCATTAATTCAACGAATCTTCATTAAGCATCCGCTATATGCCAAGCACTGTGCTAGGCCCTGGGTATGGTCTCTGCCCTTGCGGGCTTATAGTCTGGTAGAGGAGTCAGACATGAAATAAATCACCCACAAAATTGCAAGTGACAACCAGCGTGGAGAGGTATAAGGTGCTGTGAGAATGGATAGTAGAAGAGTCTTTTCCCCCAGCCAAGGAGATTAGAAAAGAGTTTTGCGGGGGGGTGGGGAGGCAGTAGAGAGAAGGGAGGGCAGCAGAAGAGTATGTGCAAAGGCCCTGGAATCAGGGTCCTGGCTCCCAGCCACCCTGCTCCCCCAGAAAGAAGAAGGTCCCTCCTCACCTGGATTTTGATATGCTACAAGGGAGGGATGGTAAGCACCTCCTAATGGCCAAAGCAGGCCCCTGGGACACCTGGTGATCCTGCCCTGGAATGATTCCACCCATTCCTTCATCTCTTCCTCCAGAAAGGGAAACAGAGGCACAGATAGGGAGGAGGAATCCACAGGCATAGGCCTGAGATTACATAGAGAAAACAAGGCCGCACATTGTTGGCAAATCCCTCAGGGTGAGGGATTCCTGAGTTTGCCTGGCTGGAGCCTCACCAGATAGAAAACCCTTCTACTCTGATCTGTTTGACCGTGCACCCTCCCCCTCTGGGATCCAGCCCTGACCTGTTCCACTCCCTGGAATGAGGAGCATGTCTGCTTCCACAGTTGCCCGGAGTTTGTGAGCTGACTGCTCCAGGTGGCGGCCAGGCCCAGTGTGGGTGGGTGCAGCAGTCCGTTTTGTACAGAACCTCCATCCCGGGTTATGGGGTTATCTCTCCTCTGTCCACTGGGGGGCTTCCAGCCCCTCCTGCCCAGACACGGAGGTTCCAAGCTTCTTTCGTTCTGAAGAAAAGGGATGGAGGGTCCTTTGGAGGAGGGAGCAGGCTTCTTGTGGCCATGCCTCCTCCGGAGCTGGCAAAGAGGTCATGGGACCAATGGGGTTAAGTTCCAGCCCTGCTCTGACCCGTTTTCCTCCCTGTGCCCACATGCCCTGGGGCCAGGGTGTTGGGTGGGGCAGGCCTGGCACCCCTGCACCCACACCTGGGACTTCTCCTGGATGGAAACTCCCAGAACCCTGGTGTCCTACCTCCTCTGCCAGCTCCCACCAACAGCCTGGGTTCTGTTCACTTACAGTGGGATCTCCCTGTCTGCCAGCTCTCCTCCAGACTACATCTCCGCCTTAGCCCTGAGGGGCCCTGAGGATGTGGGCCCACTTTCTGGGACCATATTTGATGTCTGGCTGCCCTTTCTAGTGAACCCCTTCAAAGAAAAGATGTGGGGCTGGGGGGAGGGTGTTGGGAAGCTATCCTTCGTTGACCATCTCTATGTGCCAGGCGTTGTGCTAGGGCATGTACGTTACTCATTTAATCCACAAAGCAGTCCAGAGAAGTAGCAGTTATTATCAACCCCATCACAGGGGAGGGAGCTGAGAACCAGAGAGGTTAAGCAGCTTGCCCAATAGCATCACACAGCTAGCACATAGCAGAGCTAAGATGGGAACCTAGGTCTTGGTGGTCCTGAGGTCTCTTCACCACGACAGGCTTCCTCCTCTTCTGCAGCTGCCCACCTCTCCATGAGATGAGAGACTTAGAAAAAATCAGTTCAGTTCAATCCAACTCAGAAAACAGTTATTGAGCATCTGCTGTATGCCAGGCCCGGACAGGTGCCAGACCAGTGACAGGGAAGGTTGCTGACTCAAGGTCTAGTGGGAAAGATAGGTGTATGAACTCGGCAGTATCTAACTTCAGCATAATGATTTGAATGAGGCGCAATGGAGTGGAGAAAGAAACAGTACTTCTATTTTCTCTTTCTGAAAGAGTAAAGAAATATATTATGAACAGGGTACAGAATAAATTGGAATAAAGCGAATACCTACTCAGCTGGCATCCAGGTCAAGAAATAGAGTACTTCCTGCTCCAGAAGTTCCCATGTGACTCTCCCATCATCCCCTCCCTCCCTTAAGAAGTAACCACCATCCTGACTTTTGTGATAATTATTTCCTTCTTTTTCTTTATAGGATTAGCACCTATGTATGCATCCCTAATCAATATTACTTAATTTTGCCTGTTTTTGAGGTTTATATAAACGGAATGACACTGTATTACCCTTTTGTGTCTTACTTATTTTGCTCAACTTCTTGTTTGTGAGAGAGATCCAAATTGTTGCACATAACTGTCTTTTTTATTGTTACAGAGCATTCAGTTGCTTGAATATACCACAGTTAATTGTTTTATTCTACTGTTGGTGAAAGTTTGAGTTGTTTCCAGTCTGGGCTATCATAATGCCACTAAGAACATTCTTGTGTGTGTTTCCCAGTACATACATGCAAGAGTTTTTCTAGGCCGTAAAACTAAGAGTCAAAATGTATGTACAGGAAATCTCAATTTTTACCAGATAATGCCAAACTGTTTTCCAAAATGGTTGTATCAGTTACACAGGAAGCAGAACGTTCTAACCAGGGGCAGGTGTAGGATCAAGAAGACCCATACACCTTTCTTACCTAAAACTCTCAGTGGTCTTCTCTTTTCCTTGGAATAAGATCCAAGTCACTGCCGTAGCTCCCAGGGCCTCTACCTGGCTCTCTGCCTGTGCCATGTGACTCTCCCCTTTGCTCTTTGTACTTGCTGTCCCCCGTCTCTGGAATGTTCTTCCACTAGCTATCTCCATGGCTCTCTCCCTCACTTTCTTCAGGTCCTTGCTAAAATGTCACTTCTCGCTGGCGCTTTCCCCGACCACTGAATCTTCTATTGCAACCTCCAGCCCTCCTTATACCCTTCTCAGCTTTAGTTTTCTTCGTAGTCCAGCCACCTGGGTTCCATTCAGCCTCAAGCAGCTCTCCCCTGGTCGGCCAGCACTTTTTTTTTTTTGCCACATGGCATGCAGGTTGGAAACTCAGAGTCTTAACCACTGGACCACCAGGGAAGTTCCTGCCAGTGCTTTTATCTCCTCCCAAACCCTTAAGGGCCATCATAGCTGACTGTTTGGGGGCTGTCTAGCTGCCCCTCCTGAAGGGTCCACCTCTCTGAGTCATCACATCACCCTGGTTTTTTGTTGTTGTTGTTTTGTTTTTGCAGTACACGGGCCTCTCACTGCTGTGGCCTCTCCCGTTGCGGAGCACAGGCTCCGGACGCGCAGGCTCAGTGGCCATGGCTCACGGGCCCAGCCGCTCCGCGGCACGTGGGATCTTCCCGGACCGGGGTGCGAACCTGTGTCCCCTGCATCAGCAGGCAGACTCTCAACCACTGCGCCACCAGGGAAGCCCCCACCCTGTTGTTTTTCATAGCCGTTCCCTTGCTCTGAAGTAAGCTAATGTATTTGTTTGTTTACCTTTGTTTGTTTACCTGTTTGGTTTTTGTCTCCACCCTGCCCCACCCCTCACTTTAAAGTAAGCTGTCTTGCTCTGTCCCATGGCCAGTGCCTGCTGCATGACAGGCCCTCAAATAATAATTGTCCAGGCTGGTTGTCAGGCTCCCAGAGACAGCCAGCCCCTCCCCCAACCCTCACACCTGGGATTTGCCCTGTCTGGAAACTCCCAGAACCTAGGCTTCCTCCCTCCCCTGCCAGCTCCCACCAACATCCCTGGCTCAGTCTCAGAGTCTCAGAGCATCTGCTGGTGCTGTTGCTGCTTCCCGACGTCTCCTCTAGGGACCATATGGGAGCCTGAAGCAGCCGTTCTGGCCTTCAGGGCTGGAGAGTGATGGGCAGGTGTCAGGTGCCTGGAGCTCAAGAAATACTTTTTTTTTTTTTTTTAATTTATTTATTTATTTTTGGCTGCATTGGGTCTTCGTTGCGGTGCGCGGGCTTCTCATTGCGGTGGCTTCTCTTGTTGCAGAGCATGGGCTCTATGCGCGCGGGCTTCAGTAGTTGTGGTATGCGGGCTCTAGAGTACAGGCTCAGTAGTTGTGGCGCACAGGCTCAGTAGTTGTGGTTCGCGGGCTCTAGAGCGCAGGCTCAGTAGTTGTGGCACATGGGCTTGGTTGCTCCACGGCATGTGGGATCCTCCCAGACCAGGGCTCGAACCCGTGTCCCCTGCATTGGCAGGCGGATTCTTAACCACTGTGCCACCAGGGAAGTTCCCAAGAAATACTTTCTGATTGAATAAAGGGGAAGACTTCAGAGATGATGGGACCTCGCCAGGTGGAGAAAAGAGAAAGGGCACTGGGAGCAGAAGGAAGAGTGGAAACAAAGGACTGGAGGCATGAAAGTGCACATGCTATTTGGAGGACGTGCTCTGGTCTGGTGCCCTTGGTGGGTTCTCAGTGGAGGGGAGGGGAGCAGGCAGGCCAGGAAGCGGAGGGCTAGCTGGGGAAGTCTGAGCTGCTGCAGGCTCAGAGAGGCTCAGCAGTGGCTTAAGTTTAATCCTGCCCACACCCCTGCTCCCCACTGTCCCCCCTCTGACCCCACCCCTGCCCTCCCCTTCACCCAACCCCCCAGCCTGGCCGCTCCTGCAGCTGAATGGACTTCTCTCTGGGCCTACGTTTGGGGCCTCGGAACAAGAAGGCCAGCCACCAACATCCCCCTCCACCCGCCGGGCACGGCCCACCAGCTGCCTCCCCTTGTCTGTCCTGCCCCCCCTCTCCCTGTGCCTGCCCCTGCCCTGGCTGTCCCCCTGCCACCTGCTCCTGCACTACCTATCCCTATTACGCAGCTCCCTGCCCCTCCTGTCCCGGCCTCCCTGGCCCACCCTGTACCTGCCCCTGCTCTCCCTGCCCTGCCTGTCCGCCCTTGACTTGTCCCCTCAGTTCCTGCAGCCCCTGCTCTGCTCCGCATTTGACCTGCTGCCACCCCTCTCCCTGCCCCATGTACCCTTGCTCCAGGGGTCAAGCCGCCTGTTCCAGCTCCTGCTTGGGCTGCAGTGACAGCTGTGGCCGTGGCCGGGGGGCTGCCCGGGGACCTCCAGGCTCCGCCGGCCGCTGCAGCTGCTGCTTCAGGGGACACCGCACCTCTCGACACTGTCTGATAGTCTAGCTGGGCTGTTGCCCCTTGAGAGATTGCCAGTCTTCCAGGACACTTCTGCAGCTGCTTCCTCAGGGAGGAGGCAGAAGCTCTGGAGGACAGAGAAGGATCAGCTGGACCCCTCACCCAGGCAGGGAGAGGAGGCTGGCTGCTGAGATCCCCCGGCCTCCTCCTCAGTCCCGGGACGTCTGCTTTGAAGCTAGTTTCTGGGCATGCTCTCACTGGTTCCAGAACCTCCTCTTCTGCAACTTCTGGAATGGAAAGTGTTCTTCTCAGAGCCTCTCCCACGGCCCCTGAAGGTGAGCAAGTTGGCCATTTTCCCCTCTGGTCACCCTCCCCTGGAGACCCGTCCTGGCTCATCTTCTCTGCAGTTTGCGTGGATGAGATGGATTCTTCCTCTAGAGGCGACAGGGGATCCTTTGTCCAGGGACCACTTTTCTTGCCGTGTGGACCTCCACCCATATCCCTAAATGACCCAAGAATCTCTGAATCCCTTACCTCTCATCATGAGCCTGGTAAGGAAGGTCAATGGCTCTTGGACCAGAAGAAGAGGCTGAGCAGAGAATTCTTGGTTCCTCCCTCCCCTTGGATATCATGACATCCTTCATGGTCCTTTGCTTCTAGGAACCTGGCGCTCTCTACCTGGATGTCTTATCTCTCAAATCTCTGAGGGCTCGCCCAGCCGCATGACCTCAATCTTCCAGCAATAATCCCATCTGTTACATCCATGCTCATCTGGCAGGGGGATGATGGAAGCTGGGAACCCTTGACTCAGGGTCCCAATGATCCCATCCACACATAGCTAGTCATAAGTCCCCTGTCCCTGGGGGTGGGGCTGGGGCTGGGGGTTTGGAGAAGCCACCAAGAGGAAGCTGGAAGTGATAGACCTTGGCATCTGCGTGGGACTGGATCTTAAGCTGAGAGCCCCTAAGCACCCCTCCACATTCCCCAAGTTCTCTGACGCTGGTCTGTTTCAATCTTCTCTTTCTCAACCTCCTTCTCTGGAACCCTTTGTTCTTTCCTTTCTATCTCTGTTTATCCTTCTGCTTATCTTTCCTTCTAGCTTTCTACACCACTCTCTCCATTTCTGTTTCCTTGTTTCTATCACCTGGACTTTCTGCCTTCACCTAACTTGTATCTCTACATCTGTTTCCCCCACTCGTCCCTCCCTTTCCCCATCCAATTTAAAATCTTGTTTTCTTCCTTTTTTTTTTTTAAATAAATTTTTTTTTGGCTGCGTTGGGTCTTCGTTGTGGGCTTTCTCTAGTTGTGGAGAGCGGGGGCTACTCTTCGTTGCAGTGCGTGGGCTCTAGGCACAGGGGCTTCAGTAGTTGTGGCTCGGGCTCTAGAGCTCAGGCTCAATAGTTGAGCTCAGGCTTTAGAGCGCAGGCTCAGTAGTTTTAGCACATGGGTTTAGTTGCTACACCGCATGTGGGATCTCCCTGGACTAGGGATCAAACCCACGTCCCCTGCATTGGGACCACTGCGGTACCAGGGAAGTTCCTCTTCCTTGGTCTTTTGATTCACCTCCTGCCTCTCTCCTTTGTCCTATTCTGCTTCTGGGTGCAAGTCATTCTCGATCTCTTCCATTTCTATTTCCCTTTCTGTCTTTGTTCCTGTCTTCTGGGTCCAGCTGTTTTTCAATTCCTACCTCACTTTCTGCCTGCCCAAAATCTGGTTTTCTCTCTCTCTCTCTCTGGGTCCTGCAGCTGCCTGCACACCAGGCCTATGTCATGCCCATCTCATTGCTGCCCAGGGGCCAGGACACCAAGTCCTCCATTGTCCAGCTGTCCCCCAAACACCCCATGCCCTGGAATGAGTGAGGGCTGGACAGAGCTACCAGAATAGACCCTTCTTCCCCTGCCCACTGTCCAGGCCATCCATCCCTACTCAGCTCTAAGCCCAAAACTTTTAAAAAATGAAGTTTTTCTCCCAACTTCATATTCTGAAAATTGGCAACCAGAAAGAAAAAGAATTATGCATTTATGCTGCCTGTCCTGTGTAACTTATGTTTCAGGGTGGCCAAATAGCTCTAAGTGGTGGAGAAAACTTCTTACTTACAGAAGAACTCCAGCTAATGTAGAAGGAATATGGAATTAGAAAAATCACCATTTTGCAACCCCTTAATGAAATAATTGATCAAAGCAAGAATCGTCAATGGATGAAACCAAGGATGGTGGTTGATGGAGAACTTTACAATGGAGGAATAAGGCTGTCACTACCTGACCCCACTGATGAATCTTAGCATCGCTAAAAATGGCACAACCACATGCCCTGTACCTCCTGATGTGATGCAATCTGAAGCACTCAGCACCACCTGTGAAGGACTCTTGCCAAACAAAGAAACAAACAAAAAAACTGAACATGATTCTAATCAAACCTCTAGAGCTAACCTCCATTTAATGAGAAACATGGGGGGTGGAGGAACATATTAAATGACAAAACAAGGAAGTGAGAAAACATATCCAGAACGTGGGACATTCTAAAGGAGATCTGACTGGATTTCTTCAACTAGTCAATGGCTGGTGGTGGTGGTGGGGAGACCTTGTTTGGTTCCTGATTGGGACCACCCAATTGTAAAGAGACATTTTTAGACTGCTGGAAACATTTAATTATGAACTGAGTACTTACAATGCCAAGGAATCTGTGTTGATTTTGTTAAATGTGAAAATGGCTTTGAGGTTATGTAGGAAAAGGTCCGTATTTCAGATGCACACTGAGTATGGAGTGAAGTGATGTATTTAATTTTAAGTATTTTGGCAAACGAAAAAAGAAAGAAAGGAGGAGAAGAAACAAAGGTACAAAAATCAATATTGTTGAATTAAGTATATAGGGTTTCATAGAACTATGCTCTCTACCTTTATGTATGTTTGAACATTTTCATAACAGAGGTTTTAAATGATGCTCCTCTGGTAAGCATGGTTCCTAGTAATTCCCAGAGCATCCTCCCCACCTGCCCTGAAAGCCAGACTTCCCCTGTGACTCCCCACACAGAGACCCCAGCCCTCCTTGCCCTCTACTAGGAGTGTGTCCTAGAGATGGAATTGCACTCCCAGGCTGTCCTTTATCCCCTTCAGTCCCCTGCTGCTCAGCTGGCACATTTCCCAGCTGTGCTTCACAGCTTCGAGGGGCCAGGGGAACCTTAAAGAGTTAACATATTTTGAATAGGTCCTACAATAAAAGTAATCCAAAATAATGTAATCTTCCTTAAAGTCTCTCTTTGTCAGGTGCTTCTGAGCAAAATGCAACTCAATAATGGAGAGCACTGGCCTCCATCCTGGAAAACAGAAGACAAAGCACGTAAGGCCATCCTGTCCCACTCCCTGCCTTCATTCAGGATGACCTCCTCCCTCAAAGAAAAGACCACCAGGAACTGAGAGACTGGGTGTCAGGAGTTCAAGGGGTTTCAGTCCAGGATCAGAATAGAAGGCCATTTCGATCCCTTATGCCCTCACTCACTGAATGACCTTGGGAAATGATGATTTTTGAGCCTTCGTGTTTCTAGACAAATGCATGGGAACCAATACCTTTTCTACTCTCTAGAAGTTTGCCAGTTAGGGATAAAGGCAACTTGGAACTTGTAGGATATAAATCTCAGCTGTTTACTTTATCATAAGAAAGTATTTCTCAAGTTATAATTCCAGATCCTCCCACCCTCTACCCTCCAAACTTTAGTATAAAGAAAAACCAACAGGGCCTGCCCTGGTGGCGCAGTGGTTGAGAATCTGCCTGCCAATGCAGGGGACACGGGTTCGAGCCCTGGTCTGGGAGGATCCCACGTGCCGTGGAGCAACTAGGCCCATGAGCCACAACTGCTGAGCCTGCGCGTCTGGAACTTGTGCTGTGCAACAAGAGAGGCCGCGACAGTGAGAGGCCTGCGCACCGCGATGAAGGGTGGCCCCCGCTTGCTGCAACTACAGAAAGTCCACGCACAGAAACGAAGACCCAACACAGCCAAAAATAAATAAATAAATAAAAATTTTTAAAAAAGAAAACCAACATTTGCTAATCACCTGTGCAGGTGGGTGAACCCATTTAATCTTCTTAGAAATCATGAGTGTGGAACTGGAAAGATCTGGGTCCCAGTTCTGACTCTACCTCTTACCATGTGACTCTAGTCATGTTACTTAACCTTTCCAATTCTGAAGGATAATCATAGTAACTACCTAAAGGGTTGTTGTGACAGTTAAACAATTCATCTACAGCAGGTGGCCCAGGACTTCTTAAGACAGAACTTAGGTACATAATAACTGTTTGATAAGTGTTACCAGCTAATAAAGACCAGCACTTTTTAGAGTAGTTTACACGTATTATTCATTCATTTATTCATCAAATATTTATTGAATGTTTTTATGTACCATTAACCATTTTAAGTACTGGGAATACAAGTGAACAAAACAGATGAAAATCTGTAGGGAGAAGAAATAGTAACTAAGCAAAATATATAGTGTGCCAGATGGTGTTAAGTGCTATGGAGAAAATGCAGCAAAGGAGAATAGAGAGTTGGTAGGGAAGCAGGTAGATTACTGTGGCAGAGGTGGTGGTGTTTTTTCAAACAGGTTGGCCAAGCAAGGCCTCTCTGATAAGGTGACACTTGAAGACAGAACTGCAGGGGCTGAGGGAGGGAACCATGTGGATCTCTGGGAGAAGAACCAGAACTTTACAGGGCACAGTGTGCAAAGGCCCTGGTGGTAGACAGTATAGATGGAGAAGGCGTAGGAAGGAGAATGGTAGGAGATAAGGTCAGAGATGTAGCAGTGGAACAGGGGACAGAGGGTTTTGTAGGTCATTATAGTGATTTTGGATTTTATGCTTTGTGAGATGGGAAACCATTGGAGGGTTTTGAGGAGATAATACTAGGCTGGAAAGAGTTTAAATAACCTTTCCAAGGTAACACAGCTGGTAAGTGGCAGAGGGTGGGCATCCGGCTCCAAGGCTGAAATTCTTAACCCTTAACTGCCACTGAACTTCAGCCTTTTTTCTTTGGGCGCTGCCCTCCTATGACTGCCGACCAAGAAACTGGGACACTGAGAAGTCATATGGCTTGCCCGAGGCCACAGGGCTGGGATTTGAGCCTTGGCCGTCTGCAAACCAAAGTCCAAGTCCTTTACACCACACTGCCTCCCTCAGGTGTCTGGGCCATACTGACTTCTGGCCTGGAGGTCACTACTCTGGGAGAGGAGGGAAGCGAGGAGCCTGTTTCGGCTTGGGGCGGCGATGTTCCTCAAGAAGCTCGAGCGCCAGCTCTGCGGTACTGCTGGCATTTTCCCAGACACTGCTGCGCTCCCTAACCCAGGGCACGGACGAAGAGACAGAAACTGTGTCTTTACTTCCAGGGGGCCCCGTAGGTATCCAGGAGTCGAAGGAGCGGGTGTCACGGGAGGGCAGCGGACAGGGCTAAACCCGGAGCAGCGACCACCACCGCCTCCTGTTGAGCCCCAGCAGGCATCCGGAGCTCAGCGCCCCGGTTGGGGCAAGAGGGCGGAGTAGGGGCGGAGTTTGAGCGCCGCGCCCCCGTCACGTGACGGGACCCATCATGGCTGCGGCCAGAGGGCTCCCAGGCTCCCGGAAGCAGGCTGTGAGGGGCGGGCGCGCTGGGGGAACCCGAGCCGGAGGTAGAGCGGGCAGAGCGGGCAGGGCGGGCAGGGCGGGCAGGGCGGGCAGGCGGCCTGGAGCCGGGCGTGTCCGGAGCGTCCCCGCAGACCGGGGCAGCAGGTGAAATGGTGTCTGGGCGAGGCGCGAGCGGATGTGGCGGCGCTGGGCAGGGACTAGGGGGCGCATTGTGTGTGTGTGGGGGGGGTGCCCTGACCTGGAGGAGGGAGAGTCTGAGATGCACGCGCGTGACCCAGAAGCAACTCGAGAGGCCCGCGCGGGCGGTGGGGATGCCCGGGACAGATGACGAGACATTGAGGGCAAAAACGGGCTCCCCAAAGAGGATGGGAGGTAACAGAAGGAAGTGTTGTATGCATAAGCTACTGTGGGAGAGGGCAGCAGCCCCTTGACTGCAGGGCTGGGATTAGTGAAGGAACTCCCTCTCTGCTATACCAGGCAAGGATGGGGCGAATGCTCAATCTTCTCCCTTCTCCCACCCCTTCCCTGCCGCACAGTGTCCTTGGAGACCGCTCTGGTGGGCCACTCCTGCCACCCACCCAGCTGGTCCCTCTGGTCTGAGCTCCGGGGGAGTGGAGTTGAGGGGTGGGGAAGTGCAGGTGGCAGCGGGGGTTGGGTGGAGCTGCCTTCTGCTTAGACACGCAGCTCCTTGACGGCGCTATCCGGTCAATGGATGTGACTCTGAAGCCCCGTTCTCTCCCTAGGTCTTCCGGGGGCCGGCCATGCTGGTGACTGCCTACCTTGCCTTTGTGGTCCTCCTGGCCTCCTGCCTGGGGTTGGAGCTGTCAAGATGCCGGGCTAAGCCCTCTGGAAGAGCCTGCAGCAATCCCTCCTTCCTTCGGTTTCAACTGGACTTCTATCAGGTCTACTTCCTGGCCCTGGCGGCTGACTGGCTCCAGGCCCCCTACCTCTATAAACTCTATCAACATTACCACTTCCTGGAGGGACAAATCGCCATCCTCTATGTCTGCGGCCTTGCCTCCACAGTCCTCTTTGGACTGGTGGCCTCCTCCCTTGTGGATTGGCTGGGTCGCAAGAAGTCTTGTGTCCTCTTCTCCCTCACTTACTCTCTCTGCTGCTTAACCAAACTCTCTCAGGACTACTTTGTGCTGCTGGTGGGCCGAGCACTTGGTGGGCTGTCCACAGCCCTGCTCTTCTCGGCCTTTGAGGCCTGGTACATCCACGAGCATGTGGAACGGCATGACTTCCCCGCAGAGTGGATCCCGGCTACCTTTGCCCGAGCTGCCTTCTGGAATCACGTGCTGGCTGTAGTGGCAGGTGTGGCAGCTGAGGCCGTGGCCTGCTGGATGGGCCTGGGGCCTGTGGCACCCTTTGTGGCTGCCATCCCTCTCTTGGCTCTGGCTGGAGCCTTGGCCCTCCGTAACTGGGGAGAGAACTACGGTCGGCAGCGTGCCTTCCCCAGGACCTGTGCTGGGGGTCTGCGCTGTCTCCTGTCGGACCGTCGTGTGCTGCTGCTAGGCACCATTCAGGCCCTGTTTGAGAGTGTCATCTTCATCTTTGTCTTCCTCTGGACGCCTGTGCTGGACCCACATGGGGCCCCGCTGGGCATCATCTTCTCCAGCTTCATGGCAGCCAGCCTGCTCGGCTCTTCTCTGTACCGCATCGCTACCTCCAAGAGGTACCACCTTCAGCCCATGCACCTAGTCTCCCTCGCTGTCCTCATCGTCGTCTTCTCCCTCTTCATGTTGACCTTCTCTACCAGCCCAGGTCAGGAAAGTCCAGTGGAGTCCTTTATAGCCTTCCTCCTTATCGAGTTAGCCTGTGGGCTGTACTTTCCCAGCATGGGCTTCCTGCGGAGAAAAGTGATCCCTGAGACAGAGCAAGCTGGTGTCCTCAACTGGTTCCGGGTGCCCCTGCACTTACTGGCCTGCTTGGGGCTTCTGGTCCTCCATGACAGCGATCGCAAAACGGGCACTCGGAACATGTTCAGCATCTGCTCCGCCGTTATGGTGATGGCTTTGCTGGCGGTGGTGGGGCTCTTCACCGTGGTCAGGCATGATGCTGAGCTGCGG